TTGTGATACAATAGTGAATCATTGTTATCAGGACTGATTGTGAAGGTTGGAAATGTAAAGGTAGACGTTTTGTAGCAAGGAGGGGAGTGATTAACTCTTCGGCCTAGAAGCGGAGGTCCCTGGGACCAATGGTCAAAGGATAAGAGTGGAGAGCTGGACACTACCTCTGCTGTCACTGTTTCTGTTGGTAGGGATCTCACATGTTACTCATACTCCTCCTTCTTGATGCTCCTGGGATCTTCCTTCTCTGCCTCTGAAATGGCGCCTTTTAAGCCTACCTGGAGGGCAAAACGCACCAATCCATTTTAGAGTCCCAAGGTCGGTTTAAACCACAGGTCAGGGGTTCAAGCAAACCAGCTGCTCCTCAGAAACCCTACACAGGGTCACTACGTGTCGCAACTGACTCAACGGCACTTAACAACAACAATACCTAAATTGCACGGTTTGTGTGGTGCTGCAGGCTAATGCGTCAGACTGCAAAGTCGTTTGAACTGCAAGGTCGGTGGTTCAAGCTCACCAGCTGCTCCTTGAAAACCCTATACAGGGTCACTATGGGTCAGAATTGACTCAATGGCACTTCACAACAACAACTACCACTTGGTGGGAATTAAGAAGACTTGCGATAGAAAAGCCGTATCAGGTAAATTCAAGGCACCACACCCATGATGTTGCTTTTAAATTATGTCTTCTAATGTGACTCATCCCTGTATAGCACTTTCAAGGAAGTGGCTGGTGGGTTTGACCTGCCAGCCTTGTAGTTAGCAGTCCAGTGCTTACTTATCCTACAATATCACACCAGGACTCATTAACTATATTATTGTTGTTGTTGAGGGCCCACGGCTGCTGCCCTCTCCGGGACTGGTCTGAGCACATGGCCCAAGGAGTAGAGGCCCAGCTGCTCCCCCTACCCAGGTAGACACCCACTCCTGGTGTTCCTAGGCAGCCCAGAGCCATGTCTGCTGATTCATGTGACCTTGAAGTAAAGGGGTCCTGCCAGTCCCCTCCCCTGGAGTGTGGCTGGACCAAGGCCTTGCCCTGGGCCTGTCCCTTTCAAAGAGCTCTGGGTCCCTCAGCATCCATGGACTCCTCTCCTCCAGGATCTCAGCAATTGTGGCCGGGAACGTCTGCTTTCCTGACTCCAAATCCCAGGAAGTGCAGGCAACTAGGTGCTGGAGAAGACCAAGGGTGGCGCCTTGGTGCTTCACTTCCTCCCTGGGTCCTGAACTGCTCCCTTGCTGTCCTAGCCTTGGGCACAAGCCAGCCCCTCACTCTGTTTCTTAGACCTGCAATGAGGACCCTTCCGTACAACAGGAAAGCCAGGGCAGCAGGAGCAGAGACGGGTCCAGGCCTTGTGGCCACTGTCTGGTCCTGGGCAGAGAAAACCATCAAGAAATGGTGGTCCTTGGACCCTGGAAAGCGGGTCTCCTCACTGGCCCTGGGTCCAGGAGCTTGCAGCCAAGCATTCCTTTTGAGGTACCATTGTATGACAAAGAACCTTCAGAGAATGCTCCCCTGCTGCCCCTGGGCTGCCTCAGTTCCCTGGAGGTCAGAGGCTGTTGTCCCTGCAGGCCTGGGAGCCACACAGGGCCTCACTTCTCCCATTTTTGTGAGTCTGGATGACCTGAGAAGCGTGTTCATTCTCTTCAATGATGCTGGCAGTGATGCCAGGGATGACGTACGTACATCCTCACCCCAAGTGAGTCAGCAGAGCAGGTATGTGTGTGTGTTCTGGTGTGTGTGGTGTGTGCATGGCTGTGGGGCATATGTGTGCACTGTGTGCTGCGTGGATGTAGGGCAAGGAGGGATGATGTGTGTGTGCATTCATGGAGGACCATGCTTGTGATACCATGCATGTGCTTGCATGTGTGCTATGTATAGATGTGTGCATGGGTGCATGCTGTGCGTGGCATGTGCAGGGAATGTTGTAGGGCACGTATACATGCATGTGCTATGTGCAGTGTGTGCATATATATGTTGTAGGTGCCATGCATGCATTGCCTTACCATGCTTGGTGTGTGTGTGTGTGTGTGTGCATGTACATGTTGCATGTGGGATGTGTGTACCTGTATCCACTTTGTGTGGTGTGTGCATACATGGGCATGGCATATGTTGTGTGTGGGTGTGTACATGTACCTACTGTGTGTTCACATGTACATGGTGTGTATGCATGTACATGCCCCATATGGCATATGAGCATGCTGTGTCTGTCATCCTGTACGTGCTTTGTGTGGTGTTATCCATACATGTTCACGTGGCATGTATGTACACTCACATAGTGTGTAGTGTGTGTATCCATGTACCCGTTGTGTTTGTGCATACATGTATGTGTCGGCTGTGTGCCATGTTCAGGGCTGTGTGACCCTGGGCCCTGGTGAGCAATCGGACGAGGAGACACTGAGGGGAGGAAGACTGGTGACCAAGTTAAGGAGAGACTGGTCTCTGACCTTTTGGGTCAACAGAGAAGACAGACAAACAGGAAAAAGGGGCCAGTCTCTGGACTGGAGCCTGGCCCTGGGCGGGCTGGCCTGACCTCAGTTGAACTGGGGCCCAGCCTGTGGAGAGAAGTCAGAGAAGGGTGGAAAGAGAGGAGCTGAGGGGACAGGCGGCCGGAGTGGGTGGGCTAGAGTTCCTGCATGGAGGGGGAAGGGGAGGGCCCAGCTCCCTCTCTCTTACCCTCTGACCCCCATAGTGGGTGGGAGGGTGTCTGTGTATCAAGTGTGTGTGTGTACACTTGTGTGAGAGAGACAGCCAGACATGGAGACTAAAGGTGGAATGCAAGAACCCCCTCCTCCCAGGACAGGTAGCTAGCTGCAGGTGGGGAGGAGGAAGAGGGTGGACCTTGGCAAGGAAGCCGGATCTTAGGGGTCCATTAAACCCGGACTGGGCCCCCACCCCCTCCCTTCCTGTCCTTCCTCTCTGGTCAGGCCCTAATGGAGGCAGAGGAGGGGCTGTGCCCCCGCCCCTCCCGGGGCACCCTGGATTCTCACTCCAGCAGCCCAGGAAAGGCCAAGGCTTTGGGAAATGGAAGTCCCGCATTGTCCCACAAAAGTTTCTCCAATTCTGAACTCAGGGTTCTGCCAAGCTGCCCATGGGGTGCAGGTGGTGCGAGGATGGAGGGCACACAGGCCAAGTTGGGGCCCTAAGGAGTGGGTGGAAGGAGTGTGGGAGGCGGACGGGGCAGGCCAGGGGCCTACTTCCCAGTGACCTAGGAGTGAGCCAGTGTGGGAGGGGAGGGGCGGGGGGAGGAAGTCCCCCCCTTGAGCAGGTCACTCCCAGAGGCTGGGGCAGGGCGGAGCAGCGATGAAGAGCAGATCGGAGCTCCCGAGCCACTGCGCACTGCCCAGCTGCCCAGAAGCCGGGAACCTGGTCAGGTGAGGGGCGGTAAGGGGCGGTGAGGGGGCCCCCGGGACTCAGGCAGGTGGGGGCTGGGAGTCTCCAGGTCTTGAGGACTGTCAGGGTGGGTGCCCAGTTCTAGGCGTCCGTCCATCCGTCTTCCCCTGCCTAACCCTAGGAGACCTACTTCTGACTCGTGCTCTCAGTGACCCCTTCCCTTTCTCTTACATACCCCCAGCCCCACATAGGCCCCCACTGGCGAACCACTCTGAGGACCATGCTCAATGTGTCCCCCACCTCTGGTAAGGTTCCAGTCCCGAGGAGGCAAAGGGGCTCCCCAACTCCCGTGGAGCAAGCCAATCGTTCCCAAGGTCCCCAACCCAGGGGAGGGGGGACCAAGCGGGTGGGGTGGGGAGGGGGGGTCGTGGCCTGGGGGATAGGACCTGAGTATGACTGCACACCCACCCGGATTCCCTGAAAGCTGCCTCGAATACTGGAATGCTAGGTACCAGGAAGTGAGAGCCAGGAGTCCGCGGCGACATAGCCTCTCCTGTGTGGTACCTGCGTGGGCTCGGGTCCTCTATAGTCTCCACTTCCTTACTGAGTCCTTTCCCTCCACCCCTGGCCAGCTGGGTCTGGGCCCCTCTCTGGCCCCAGGGCCCCCGGCAACAGCAGCGAGAAGGAGCTGGAGCCCCGGGACCCGCTGCTGGCCCGGGCCGAGCTGGCTCTGCTCTCCACAGTCTTTGTGGCTGTGTGCCTGAGCAATGGCCTGGTGTTGGGTGCCCTGGTGCGGCGGGGGCGGCGGGGCCGCTGGGCACCCATGCACGTCTTCATCGGTCACTTGTGCCTGGCTGACCTGGCAGTGGGCTTGTTCCAAGTGCTGCCCCAGCTGGCCTGGGATGCCACCGACCGCTTCTGGGGGCCAGACGTCCTGTGCAGGGCCGTCAAGTACCTGCAGATGGTGGGCATGTACGCTTCCTCCTACATGATTCTGGCCATGACCCTAGACCGCCACCGCGCCATCTGCCGCCCCATGCTGGCCTACCGCCACGGTGGTGGCGGGGCTCGCTGGAACCGGCCGGTGCTGGTCGCCTGGGCCTGCTCGCTCCTTTTCAGCCTGCCACAACTCTTCATCTTCGCTCAGCGTGATGTAAGCAATGGCAATGGAGTCCTCGACTGCTGGGCCTATTTTGTTGAGCCCTGGGGCCGCCGTACCTACGTCACCTGGATCGCCCTGATGGTGTTTGTGGCCCCTGCCTTGGGTATCGCCGCCTGCCAGGTACTCATCTTCCGGGAGATCCACACCAGCCTGGTGCCTGGGCCAGCAGCGAGGCCTGGGGGGCAGCGTGGCAGGCCGCGGCCAGGTGGCTCCAGCGAGGGAGCCCGGGTCTCAGCAGCCATGGCCAAGACAGTAAGGATGACTCTGGTGATTGTGATCATGTATGTGCTATGCTGGGCACCTTTCTTCCTCGTGCAGCTGTGGGCCGTGTGGGACCCAGAGGCCCCTCTGGAAGGTGGGTGCAGCCTCGCCCTACACCCAGCAGGGGTCCCTGCACACACCCAGCAGCCGGTGAGCCATTGTTCCCTGCTCTTCCTCCCCAGGCCCCCCATTTGTGCTGCTCATGCTACTGGCCAGCCTCAACAGCTGCACCAACCCCTGGGTTTACGCCTTCTTCAGTAGCAGTGTCTCCTCGGAGCTGCGCAGTTTGCTGTGCGGCCGTTGGAGACATGCCCCTCCCAGCCTGGGGCCCCAGGAGGAATCTTGTGCCACGGCCAGCTCCTCCCTGGCCAAGGAGCCATCTTTATGAGGAGCCACAGAGAGGAGGGAACCCAATGGAACTGTGCCTGAGGACAAGTGGCTGCCACCTCGTACAGCCCTGGGCAAGCCCTGGCCCTCTCTGGGCCTCCCTGTTCCTGGCTTCATGGAGAGACCTTTGGCTCCATGGTCAGCCAGGGGCAGGGGAGAGGCCAAGACAGGGTGGTAGGGCCTGGGTGGCAGGGTAAGACAGGGGGTGCCCAGGAGGAAGGCGGGGGGAGCTAGCTAGGCACCTTGATCTCTCATCTCCCCCTTCTCCCCTCCCCGCTCTGTCTCCCTAATAAAACTTCCGGTTTGTGTTTTCACATGGTGAGGATCTCCTTGGCATAGGGTTAGCAGTGGGTATGGTGGCATAGAGAGGCAGGAGAACATACCGCACCCCCACAGACATGTGCACAGATATGGGACGCACTACATGGGTGACCTTTGAGGACCAGTGATGAAGGTGTCAAATAGTCCCATGCCCCCAAAACAGCGAGTTAACTGGCACCAGAGAATCATGGGGGTCTTTATAAATTGCTGCCACTCCCATCAGGCAAGCCTCTTCCACAGGGCTCTAGGGCAGCGCTGGGGCAGGTCCAGGAAGAGCAATTGGACCAGGAGCTAGTCCCTCTCAGGCAGGGTTCATTGTGGCTTGCCCACCCAGTCAGGACCCTGGGGACGGAATGCTGAGGGGGAAACTGGGGCCCCAGGGCCTCGGGGAAAGCCTTTGTTCTTGTTGGGACGGTTGGAGCCAGGAGATACTGGCCCAAGACCCTGGCGGGCAGCAGTCTTTCCCAAGAGCTCCTTAAACACACAGTCCATGGTTTGTGCCACGCTCTGGTGGGAAGAGGAAAAGGGGAAAAAGGAAGGCGACTTACAAGAGCCCTCCCACCAGCCCTGCCCCAGCCTCCCCCAAACCCTGCAGTGGCCTCCAGCGCCACAGCTTTGTCCTCCTCCTTCCCCTTTTGTGTTTTGGTCACAGCCTGGGGTGAGGCGAGCCGCCCTTCCTCTCTGCCCTGGCACCCTCTCCTCCCTCTGTGGCTACTGGGGACCCCTGGGATACTCAAAATCTCTTGCATTTCCCCTTGGGCTCAACAAGTATTCCTGCTTCCACCTATCTTAGCAGGGAGTCAAGTCCTCTCCTCACCTGCAAGACCCCTGCCTGCCCCCACTCCCCTCCCTTTCATCCTCTTGGTCCCAACAGTCCCTGGCATGTCTCTCCTGTCACCTGCAATGCTCCTGCCCCTGTAGGTGACCCTGTCACAGCCAGGCTGAGGGTCTTTAGTCCTGTTCTTACCCTCTGTCCCCACACCACACCCTGGGTTCTGCTTCGGGCGCTCACCTTGTCTATATCCACATGTCTGTCCGGAGAGACGGGGACGATGCAGTGCCGTCTATGCCCAGAATTGCCTGTGGTCTCGAGTGGGGCACTTGGCTCTGGCCTACAGGGCATTGAAAGTGAGCCGACGACAACTCCTCCCAACCAGACACCCCAAAAGCCCCTCACAGGCTCTCTCTGTCTGTCACCTCCCCCAAGGTCCCCTGCCTGGACTTGCCAGATGCTTCTTGGCCCTGGGGTTACAGTGGGTAGTGTCAGAATGACCGACCAGATCTGACATCTGTGGGAGGGTTGGGTGTGACAGGCAGCTGTGGGTTCCGGTCTCAGTAGGGTACGGGGTGCTTACTCACCCAGCAGCAGGCAGCATGATGTATTTGTGTGGGATCAATCCCAGTGTGCCGCCACACTCCCCCCGCCACCAGTCCCCAGAGGCTCGGGCGTGCAGTCTCAGGACGTCCCCCCGCTGGAATGTCAGCTCCTGGGCCGTGCGCCCCGTGTAGGCAAAGCAGGCCACAGCCTCCACGACCCCCTCCAGGTCTGGGAAGAAGACAGGGCCTGGTGGGAGGGCTGGAGTGAAGGCCAGGCTGGGAAGTGGGGCCTCCTTCCTGTCCCACTCACCATCCTCCTGGGCCAAGGACCCGGCTTCCAACTCCGGCTCACTATCTCCCACCATGCAGTCCAGCTGGCCATCCCTGAGATGAGAAGCAGATCGAGGTGGGGAGGGGGCTTCTGGCCCACTGGGTGCCCACCCCCTCCCCACCCCCCGCCCCAAGCACAGCGGGCCTACCCCAAACAGCTGGCGGAGGGTGGTGCTAGGCACTTCTCATAGACAGGGCCCGGCAGCTCAGCCAGAGGCGGGAAGATGAGCTCAGGCTGCAGGATGAGGGTCTGCACCAGCTGGTTGACCCGGCCCTGCAAGGCCACGGGGTCCTGGCCCACGGGCACAGGCAGCAGCGTGGGCCCGAAGCACACAGCCAGGTTGTAGGGATCCATCATGTTCTCGTCACTGTACTGGGCCAGGCTGGGAGCAGTGGGGTTATGGGCAGGTGCCCCTACTGCCCCCAATCCCACGCACAGCAGCCCACAATCCCCCTGACCCCTTTTGCCCCTCACCCCCTCAGGACTCACTGGTTGAGGAACGCAAAGAGGTAGCGCAGGACCACCAGCACTGGGCCTGGCAGCTGGGCCAGAAGGCGGCTCACAGGCTCCACCCGCTCCGCTGTACCTTCCAGCTCTGTGGCCAGAGAGAGGAGTGTGTGTGGGCTACTGCCACCACCGTGGAGTGGCACCCCATGCCATGCAACTTAGGCCCTGACCTCACCTGCGGAAGCCAGCAACTCGCCAAACAGGTCTGCGTGGAAGAGCGGGGGCTCCAGGCTCCGGAAATAGAGCTTCAGCACTCCAGCCACGGAGTCCAGGTCTTGAGCCCCACAGCCTTCCACCAATGGGTCCTCCCCTGGGGACAGCATGTAGGGAAGGGTGGCAGCAGGAGCTGGGAGCCTGCTTGAGTCCACCCCCACCTGGCCCCCACCCACCCTGCCTCCCCACCTCTCTCAAAGGCGTCCCGGATCTCTGAAACCCGGACCTGGGCGCCCGACACCCGGAAGATGCCTTCATGCTGGAGACCTGTAGGGAAGGAAGGCAAGGGGCCATAGGCACAGGGACTGGGTGCTGGGTGCTGGGGAGTAGTGCAAGGGGCTGAACCTTGTTTACCGTTGAGGTTAATGAAGCGGATACAACTTTCCACCACCAGGGGCACAGGCTGGCCGGAGCTCTGGGGGCAGAGAGGGCGTTTACCCAGGCAGGCTGGGGTTTCGGGTTGCCATTATAGTGAGGAAATGCAAACTGCGAATTTGTGGATTTAAATAGTTGGAGGATTCTTTTCAGCTTCTCTTATCTGTCTAGGGTCCCAGCACAGTGCACTGAGGGCTGCTACCACAAATTCAGAGATTTAAACCCACCAGCCACTCTATGTGAGCAAGACGAGGCTGCCCTGAAAAACCTGCTGTCTTAGAACCTGTCCCCTAGGGTCGCTACGATTCGGAATCAACTTGATGGCAGTGAATTTGGCTCAGTGAGAATGTCCTGCAATCTCTGGAGCCACAGGAAGTCCCCCAGGAAGTAGCAGATGGCCCCTGGGGGACACGGGGGTCAGGCAGGGCTGGAGAGTCAGATGGAGTGTGTGGTGAAGCGAGCACCTGGATGAACTTCTCCATGTCTCCCCCAAAGAGCTTCTGGTTATACTGTGAACAGGGGCGGGGATGGCGGCTCCTCTGGACTCTCTGGGAAGGCTGGGTCCTGCAGTGAGGTGAGAGGTCTCTAATTCTCCTCCAGTCCACAGGGGCCTGAGAGCCCAGAGGATGGAAGAGAGGGGATAATGGGCCCCTGAAGGTACCTCATGTCAACTCACCAGGACATCCCCCGCTCCTCCTTGTCACCTGGAAGGAGAAGACACTGGTCAGAAAATCCAAGAGTAAGATCAGGGCCAAGGGCTTTGCTGGGCTGTTTCTGACACATGGATTGGGGAGGGCCCCGGCAAGACGTGAGGCGTGGGGGGGTCAAGCCTGGGGTACAGTCCGGCCCACCTCGCTGGATGGCCTCCTGAAGTCGCTCGTGCTTGGCCTGCAGCTTGGCAAGGACACTCCGGCCACTCAGATACTCCTGTAGCTTCTGGGGAGCCCAAGATTCAAGCCTTGCAGCTCTCCAGAGCCTCCCCACCCTGCCCTGGCCAGCCTCCGCACCCACCGTGATGTAGAAGGTCTCCGTCTCCTGCTGCTGGCCTCGCCTCCGGCCAGCTTGGCGAACCCCTGGGTCAGAACCTGTGGACTTGAGCGACTCGGTGGAAGGACTGGCCTGGAGGGGCTCAAGTACGTCCCCGTCATCCGATGATACCAACTCCAGCAAGGCCTGCAGCGTCGCCTTCAGTGTCTTGTTCACCTGGGGAAGGGACCACACAAGGGCAGGAAGCAAGGGGAGATGAGGAAGTCCAAGTTAGAGGAAACTGGGAAGCCGCAGGCTTCTGGGCGTGTGGTGAGTAAACGGACAATCTCAAGCCAGATCTGGGTTCCTACTCTGTGAGCCCCCGCCCGCCCACGTACCTCCTCTGTCTCAATGGTCTGTCGGCCTAGGCGGCTCTGGATATTCTGGGCTCGGGGCAGAATCTCATCCCGCAGCTCCATTTCAACCTGGATCTCGGCCACCTGTGGAGGACAGTGACTAGGGCACAGTGCTCAGACACCCAGCTCTCCAGTGCATGAAGGAATGGAGCACGGTCCTGCTGCTTTGGAGGCCAATGTGCTGTCCCTCCAGCACCTGACCCATAGGAAAAAATGGTTCTCACGCATGTGAGGCTCTCAACTGCAGAAGCTTGAAAGCAGGGGGCCCCAACAGCTATGAGCACACCAGTGTTCCCCAAAGTGCCAATCACCACAGCCAAACAGTGGAAAGAAGCAAGTGTCTATCAACACACAGATCGACACAAGGTGGTTCATCCTCCGCCATAAGGAGACGCTGGTAGATATCCTGGTACATACTCCAACACGATGAACCTCACAGTATACAGAAGGCTTGAGCCTTGAGCACTGAGCTCCCTGAAGAACCATCTCTCTTGACCACGGGGAGGGGGATCAAGTGGACCAGAGCAGCTGGGAAGCAGACATGGGAAGCCTAGGGGCCAGTGAGCTGGTGCCCATGGGGGAGGAAGAACTCCAAAACAGAGGGGAAGGGTGTGTGTACACCGTGGAGACTATCATCAGTGTCACTGAGTGGTCCATGAATGTGTCCACGTTGAGGAGTTGATGGAGGCTTTGCTGCGTGCATTCTCAACAATATCAAAATAAATCAAATTTATGGGAGAAAACACATTACACTGAGTAAGGTAAGTCAGATACAAAGGACAGATATTATCTGAGTCCATTGATACGAAATGTCCAGAAAAAGCAACTGCCTTTCTGGACATGCCAGATTTCTGGTTGCCAGAGGCTTGGGCCAGGGGATAGCTACAGGCTGACAGCAATCCTTTGGGGATGATTTAATACATTCTCAAACGGATTGTGGAGACAGTTCCCCGACTCTGAAGATACTGAAACCCATTACATCGTGCACTTTGAAAGGGTGAAGTGTATGATGTGTGATTCATCTCTCAATGAAGATGTTGAAAAACTATGGACAGGGTGGCTGGGTCTGAGACCAAAGAGTGAGGGCTGGAACACACAGGAACGTGGCTCACTCTAACTAACATGGGAATGGCCCACCCCATGGACAAAGTGGGGATGGGAGAATGCTTCCAGAAAAGAACTCCTCTTGAACATGGGAAAATGTCCCAAGAAATGTGACACCCACACTACAGGCCCTCTCCCTGCTGGGCCAGTCGGGTGTGGGAGGCACAGGATTGTCCTGAGTGTTTGTTTGTGGGCACGGTGTGCAACCAGTTGGCCGTGGTGTTCCCCTTTGAACGTAAATAGTATCACCGAGCCTTTGCATCAGACAAGGCCATTCTCTGGCCGTGGCGGCGGCAAAACAAAGTCACAGAAACGAGCACGCAGCCCACTGTGTCTCACTACATCCTCCCACCTTCTGGGCACAGTGTACTCTGTACCCAGTTACGGGACTGTTTACACTTCCTGCCAGTCCCCCATCAGCAAAGTCTCCAAGTTCCCTAACACCAGCCCAAATCCTCTATGTCCATGGGATTCGGCCTCCCTCTCAGCAAGGAGCAATCAACCCCCTCATTTTCAAGTGCTAGTGTCTTTAGCTGGAGGGCATTAGCCTAAAAATCGGTTGATTAAAGGAAAAGCTACACACCAAAGAATGTGTCTCTCAGTGTCCACTCTACTTCCCCAAAACTGGCAGCAGAAGATGAGACTTTTCTTTGGGGAAACTGGGCAGTGCAAAAGGGAGGACTTTACATAGACCAGCATTTGGGGTCTTCCAACAGAAGAGTTGCCCTGCAGAGAGGCCTGCTAGTGACAAGTTCCGCTCAAAGTGAAGGGTCAGCAAAAACAGAAGCAGACCCTTAACGAGAATGAGATGATTTGACACAGTGACAGGGGCAATGAGCTCAAAGAGAGCACCAATTGTGAGGATGGCATAGTCGACAACTACAATCAAAACACCGACGAGATCCCATCATACCCCAGTAGTAATGACAGTTTAAAGGTGTGGAGAGACTGGAACGCCCATACACAGCCGGCAGGACTGGAAAATAGTGTAGCCACTGTGGACACCAGCTGGGCACTCCTCCAGAAGCTGGCCAACACTGAAGCCACTTGGAAACACATGAACATCAGCCTCTACAGCTCCGAGAGCTCAACTAGGTGGTGCCCAGTGACCACTACCAACTGACCTGAAAGGATCACCTTGGAAGAACCTGGATAGAGTTGGAGGAAATGCGGACGAAAACTCAAAATTATATTTTAAAAAAATCATAATAAAATAACAGGCTTACTGGTCAGCTAGAGATTGGTGGAACTCCAAGACTATGGTCCTTGGTCAGCCCCGTGGGTCAATTTCCAGCCAAGCAATAGGCAGGTCTATAGGGAGGACAACAGCACTACCCACAGGCCAAACTTCAGGATTGCAAAGGAGAAACAGAAAGAAAACCCACAGGGAGAAAGTGGGCTAAGTGAAGTTACACTGAGGGGATCCCAGTCAGGGAGAGGAAAGCAAGTGCAGAAAGGGTTGAATGGGAAAATGAAGATGTGCCCTGTAAACCTTCATTCGTTCATAATAAAAACAGTTGTTGGTTTTTCATTTGGGGCTAATGGGATTGGAAGAGAAAAAAATGGGTGTGCTTGGCCAAGGGCGACGGTGGCAGGGCCAAGTTCTGATCGGCCTCGGAAGGGAGTCAGTCAGCCCAGCGAAGAGTGAGAATCACACTGTGGCCGACAGATGGAGGGAAATGCTAGAGGCAGTAGCTGTTTCTAGGGAGTGGGTACTGGCAGCACGGAGGTGTGGGTGTCATTGTAAGCATGGATCACAGTTGCCTTTTTTAACCACAAGCATGTCTTCACGCTACGACACTGATCAAAGTACCAATGAAATAAAAGCTGCAAGGGTCCGCCCTGTAATCCCAGGTAAACTGCTAACAGAAGCCAGTAAGGTGTGGACCATTGTGCCTTTCCATGTGTATGGTTGAGGTCCCTTCACATTTCCTTTTGGAACCACAGCCCCTTGTATGCGTTGTGGATGGTCAATGGCTGCAACACATTTTCCTTGGTTTGGGTTTTTTTAAGTTTTCCTTTCCCTACCTAGTTTGTTTCTGTTCCTTAAATAGGTAAAAGCAGTTGCCATCACGTGGGCTCTGACTCATGGCGACCCCACATGTGTCAGAGTAGAACCATGTTCCGTAGGGTTTTCTGTGACCAGATCCTTCCTCCAAGTCTACCCCTCTGGGGAGACTCAAGCCTCCAGGCTCTCTTTTAGCAGCTGAGCACAGTAACCATTTGCCCCACCCAGGGATTCCTCAGCCAAGTGGAACCCACTCCCTCCTCCCTCAAAGGACAGAGCTCGGGTGAGGCCTCACCTCATCCCCCTCGTGGGGTTGGTAGTCAAAACGCAACGGTGGACAGAAGGCAGCTGCGTGCACTTCTAGCACCTTGGCCTTGTCCCCTGGAGGATCCAAGGCCTCCAGAGCCTCATCCAGACTGCCCAGGCCCTGCATCTGGGAGGCCTGGGTACGGCCCTCAGCGACGGTGTAGCTCCGGAGCACCTGGCCCAGGGTCAGGTGGAATCCTGTGTCACAGCACTAGGGGAGAAAGAAAGAAGAAGTTTCAGGTGGGCTCTGGCAGTGTGGCCTCCAGAGCCTGGCCCACCTCCAGGACTCACATCCATGAGGTCCAGCACATCATACAAGTAGTAGTTCCTGACGGCTGCATTCACACTGGCCAGACTCAGCAGGTACTCATTCCGTGCCTTCGTGCACTTGAGCTTGTGCTCCACGAACTTGGCATGACGCTGTTCAGACAGCACATCCGGTCCAGGGTCACCCACGCCACTTGCCCTCCCTTCCCCTGTGGACAGGGCCTGACTCAACATGGCCAGACATCCTAACGTTCCCCCATGTGGCCAGGCACAAACCCTCTCAGGGCCGGAGTCTTGCCATCCAGCTGGTGCCACCACTTCGAGATCATCGTCCATCCCCACCCTCCAAGACCCGTGCCTTGGTTTGGGCCCTCATCATACCTGTCATTCCTCACCAGTGGGACTAGCATCACACTCCTGCTCCCCCCACCGAGCCATGCCTCCCACAGTACGGGCTGAGTGGCTGAGGAGCCTGGAGGATTGTGGGGGGAACTTCACAGCAGAGAAAAGCGACAGAGCACGTCCCCGGTAGAAAGAAGGGACCAAAAGGGCCAGCCCGGGGTGGGACAGCCACAGGGTTTATGGGGACCAGAGGTAGAATGAGTGGCCGGGGGCCAGGGATTGGTTGTCACCCAGCTCATTCACCTCCAGCCCTGGCCCAAGTTGGTGACTCAACCTTGCCACTCTTTCTTCAGGAGCTACCTCAAGCATTCCTTCTTCTGGTCCATCACCCACTCACCCCTCACCCTCTGCGCCAGGCACAGCATTCTCCTTCTCCCTTGGGCTCTGCAGCCCCACCAAAGCCCTGTGTCATCGGGCTAGTATCAAGCATCCCAGGTTGTCCCAGGTGGAGCCAGTAAAGCAGACTAGACCCAATCCCTGTCCTGACCCTGGAAACTATGGGCAGGCCAGCCCATGACCAGTGACCCTCTGCCCCCGGCGCTGCCTTCTCCCCTGCATGCAGAGCGCGGAGTCTCTAGAGACATACACGTAGCAGAGAGGCTAGAGCAGGCACCCTGCAGGCCCACCTTCTCCACCAGTCGCCCTCCCTTCTTGAAGGAGGTCTTCCTAGAAGGTCCAGCCTCCGTGGCAGCTGTGGCCGTGGCAGCAGCGCTCCGGCCAGCTCGCTTCTCCTCCTGGCGCTCGGCTTCCCGGAGCTTGGTCTCAGCAGTCACACTTTCTGAGCGGTACACCTGGTATGTCTTCCTAGCCTTGAAGAAGACCAAGGCAGAAGAACAGTCGTGGCCGAAGACCACGGCCACAGCTGGTCCCCTGACTCCTGGCCAGGAAACCACAGGATCCCTTGCAAGCTCCGAGCTTGAGGCCCAGGGAGTGGAGTGTCTGGCCCCAGGTTCCCCCCACTAGGTCACCCCTGGAGGCAGGCCCCCTTTGCTCGCTGTTGCCCTGGACCATCCTCACCGTCTGCAACTCTGAGATCACCTCCAGGAGCTCGTCCTGCAGTCTTTGCTCCAGATCCTTACTCTAGAGGTGGGAACAGGCCAGGAGCAAGTGGAACCGCCATCGACTGGGCTTAGACGGACTCATCCGGGCTCCTTGTTCCAGGCTCCACCCACTCAAGCCCCATCTTTGACACACCCTCCACCCCTCACCTCCAGGCACAGTCCCCTGGGCTGCCCTGAAAGAAGCTGGGCTCTCCATGCCCCCTGTAGCCCAGGGGGAGGACCTTACCTTCCTGACTATGCGCCCCACATCATCCGCCAGGTGGGTTAGGCGCTGAACGAGGGGCCCGGCCAGTACTTCGCTGAGGGCCGCGCTGTCCTGGCTCTGCTGTCGTGTCTGCTGCAGCAACACGGCCCAGCAATGTAAGGGCGACAGGAGGGACGGCTCCTTCCTGGGGGCAAAGGAGCACTCAGACCTGGGCTTGGCTGACCCAGGCGCAGCCAGCCTGCCAGCACAGCGCCTACCGGAAGCTTTGGTGCTCACGGTTGCCGCTGCCCATGCGACCTCCGCGGCCAGAGAAGCGCTCGGCCAGCTTGTCCAGGCCCCGTGAGTACTCCAGCTCCACCTCGGCCCTCCGCCGCATGAATTCAGCCAGTTCCTGCAGCAGCTCCCGCCGCAGCTCTCCCTGCACCTCCAGGCAACGCAGCTGCTCACTCAGCTGCCAGCGGATCTCTGCAGAGGTAGAGACCCCAGAGGCCTGTTCCTGGCTGCCCCAAGGTCTGCTGGGGCAAGAGATGAGAGCCTTGGCTGCCTGGAGTTCTGTGCTGGTGTCCAGGCAGGCCCTCTGTGCTCCTGAGGCCGAAGAGTGTGAGGAAGGGCATCCCAGTACATGGGGCCAGGAGTGGCCTCCATGGGGACCACAAGTCCCTGTCTTCCCTATCACGAGTCAGCCCTCCCTCTCCGTGGCCCATCTGCTGCCACTTCCTTCCCCTTTGGTGGCCAGGACCATAGCCAGGTGGTGAGGGCAGTGGCTGGCTGGCTCAGTCCGATCAGGCTCATAAGAGACCCATTCCCCATCCCCCACCCATCTCCCACAAGAGAGCCTGCCCTGTGTCCGGCCTCGCTGTGGGCATTTTAACACCTTTATCCCCTTCCCACACAAACCTAAAGTTTGGAGGGCAGAAAGCTGCCAGTCTGAGGGGCTTGAGCAGCCGTGAAAACGCATACCCAATGGGACCTTCCCCGACTCGGCACTCCTATACCTGCTCCAGGTCCAGTACTTGCTGGGCTGGGAGTAGGGGAGGCAGACAACTGAATGTGGGAACAGGGGGACTAAGATGAGCGAAGCGAGGTGCAGTCAGAACAGCCTCTCAGAGTTCAGAGTGACACTGTGGGGGCAGATGGTGAAGAGCCTGTGGCCAGGGAAACACTTGAACTGGACTCCAAATGACAGGGAAGCCAAAGTTCAGATCCATGTGACTGGGCTTCATTTTCACAGGGAAGTCTCTCAGGAGAACAGGAGTGGCACGGTTCGGGGTAGCAGCTGGAAAGAAGTACTGTGCACAGCTCTGTAGTGGTTCGATTCTTTCCTGTGGCTTCTCTCCCTGGCCTCCAGCCTAACCACTACCTGCCTCCGGGACCAGCTCTGGAAGCTGCAATCCCAACCCTCCTCCAGGAACTCCTGGGAAAGCAGAGATGGGGTGGGGACTTCCTGCACAGACTCAAGTCAGGCTCAAACTGACTTGTCAGTTACATGAGCCATTTGGGATGAGCTTCTTGTCACTTGAAGCCAGAAGAATCTTATTGGAATCAGGGCAACATTTTTGGATAAAAGTAAATTTCATTTCGTTTCAAGAATGGTCTGAGCCCCAGCTTTCAACACCTTCTGCCCAGTGTTAACCCTGCCCTCGCCAGAGGCATACGTTCCCTAAGGACCAATTACAGCAAGCAATGCTGAACGGACTGGCAGACAAAACAATTCGTTTATGCTTCGGTGCCAACAGCTAAAGACGAGCTTCTGGATCACACATGCGTACTGGCTGATGTCAACTGTGAGCAGGACTGGTGAATTACAGCCTGACTCTGAAGTACACCAGCGCCCCTAGTGGCAGCCAGCAAGTCAGCACCCCTAACAGAGCCACCATAGAGCGGTTTGTCTGAGACTGGTGATCTCACAGGGTGCTCTTCCTGCTCCCCGCTGCAACTGAGGTCTGGCCCTGTCTATACCCCCTGTTAGGATACCCTGTGTTTTCTCGCTTTCTTATTCTGCTTTCCCACCAGACTAGAGCTGTTTACCAGGGTCGTCTCGGGGCTTGGGACAGGATGTTGTTAGGGTTAATTTCTACTACCCTATACAGTGGGTTTGAACTACCACCTTGTGGTTAGCAGGCCAGTACTTATCCTAAAGCACCACGCCAGGAACCCTGGGACAGGATGTTGTTATCAAGTGCCGTTGAGTCTTTTCTGACACATAGAGACCCTTGTATAGGGTTTACGAGAAGCTGTTGGTGGGTAAGAACTGCCAACTTTGTGGTTCAAACTGACTTTGTGGTCCAGCGTTTATCCTACAGTGCCACACCAGGACTCCCCTGGGACAGGATAAAAGGGTACAAAACATTTGCCAAATGAAAAGATGGGCTCCACCTATGCTAGAATTCATAGCTGAGTCTTGTGTCCTGCTGATCCTTCTTGTGAGCCAACAAATGAAACAGATGAAAAGCAACGAGGCCCCTTAGGAAGTGGTCGGCAGGACAGCGACCTTGGTTTTCTAGCATGGTAGGAAGTTGGGGTTTGGGTTTTATTTTTGAGGGGAAATGGGGAACAGAGGCCAAAATCGTTGGCGACCCAGAGCAGGCAAGGAGCATCTTTAAGGCTGTCTTATCTGGACTCGCACTTGCGTATCCCTCATGACCGTTTTGGGGAGCAGGATGAGGATCGGTATCTTAATCGGCGAAATGATAACAATGAGGCTTGGCGAGCTGGCAATATGGCAGTATGTAAATTACTTGCACCAGGTGATTACAATGGAACCTGTATCATTCTATTTTTGAGAGGCCATAGCTGGGGAAAGGAGGCCTGGTGTGGCACTGTGGGTTAATACACTGGACTGCAAGGTCGGTTAGAATTGCAAGGCCGGCGGTTCGAGCTCACCAGCCGCTTCCTTGGAAACCCTATACAGGCTCCCGATGGGTCGGAACTGACTGAACGGCACTTAACAACACCCAGAGGGTCTGCCTCCCAGGTATATGGCTGTCACACACCTAAAGGCACTGAAGGACTTTGGGTTCCTAACTGTTGGTGCTAGAGGCCACCTTCTTTCCTCTAAAAAAGGTACCACGCCCTGAATAAGGCCAGCAGAAGCTGTTGACTAGGAATTTTCCAAGGTGATGTGCGTGAGATTTGCATAGGATCTTTTATCAGAACCCAGAGACCTAACGTCAGAAGGCTGTGAAGTGGGCCCTGTTGCCAATCTCAAGTCAAGAAGTCACTCTGAACGACCTCAAAGCTAAAGGGAGGGAAAGGCAGTGCCCAGGGATTGCAGGCCGGCTGGTTTTAGAGGAGAGAAATCCCCAAACCACTCACCGCCCCTCCGCCCCAGATGGGTCAAAGTGGTCGATTCCACCCTGGTTGGGGGTCCACGTTACAGTGAAGCAAGTCACACCTGCTCCGCCTTCCCGCAGGCCGCCGGGATCTCCACGGTTAGGTACAGTATGGCCAAACAACAGAACGGAAGGGAGGGGGGGGCGGGCTGGGCAGTCACCCCTTCGGAGATCTAAGAGGACCTCCAACCAAAGGAGGTCAGCCAGGCCAGCAGGAGCTGGGGTTCCTTCTCACCCCTCCTCCAGAGATCAAAGGACACGGGGTTGTAGGGACTTGTCCGGCTCCGCGCCCGTCAGGCCACCAGCGGGGGGCCTCCCCAGCAACTCGGGCGCCCCCACGACCTCGGGGACTCCGCGGGGAAGGGTCGACAGCGCCGGGGCACCTCTCACCTTTGACTTGTGTCTCATACTCAGCCTGCGGCCCCCGCTCCCTGCGCAGCTTCCCGTGAGCGGCCATGGCCGCGCCGTCGAGCCCCACTGCTCCCACGCGACCGCGACCGGCGGCGCTGGGACCTCGGGCGGCGCCGAAGGCAGCTCTGCGCGCCGACCCCGCCCCCGCCGGCCCGATCCCGCCCCCTGCGCCCCTCCTGGAACTGCCCGCACAGGGGTTCCTGGCCCAGGCCCGGCCTACCTTGCGCTGGGCCAGGGCGATCGTGAGAGCCCCAAGGTGTCCAGCAAGTTGGCAACCTCTGGCTGCCATCCCCTACCACCTCCCCACGTCGCATCCTCCACCTCACAGCCCCTGGGCCTTGGTTGTCAATGGACAGTAACACATCTATTCCAGCCCTGAGCTCCCCCTGTATCAACTGCTTTCCTCTGACCCCTGAGACATCGGATGGGCTCCCCTTTCCCTCCCTTTCGAGTCACAGCCCCGGGAGATGAGCCCCAGGGGTTCAAGAGCCAGCCAGGGTGGAAAGGTCCAGAGGGGAGGGAGGTCAGCCACTGAGATTAAGACTTTGGCCCTGGGTGCCCTCTTGGCGCCTTCAGGGCAGGGAGAGAGAGGCCTTGGCCTGAGGTTCCCCTTCTCGAACCTGTGGGGAGGAAGGAGCCTCATTTCTCCATAGGAGGTTACCACTTCCTGCTGCAGGAAGTAGCTCTTCTGCCTCCCCTCCCCATGCTTGCACCTGCCTGGGGGTAGGAGGCAGCCCTCCTCCTGGCCTCTCAGAGCAAGGCCTTAAGGGAGCAAGGCTTGGATCTTCCCTCATCTAGGAGTGTTGGGGTTTCCTCCCACCCCCTCTCCAACACCTGGAAGCCACAAGACAACAGATTTTTGTCTCTAGTAAATTGGAAAAGCAAGTTCATACTGGCGGGTGACAAGTTGACTAGACAACTGTCTTCTGTTTGGTGGGAGGGGAGTCCTAGATGATGGAAGAGGAGATGCTGCCGTAGGGGCACTTTGAACGCGAAGTCACAGTCAGGCTATGTGGAACCGTGGGGAGCACAGGCGGGTGTTGGAGGAAGGCCTGGGCCCGGTACTTCCTGCAGTACAGCTTATACACAATTCTTTTACTCTGAAAGGAAAAACATACCCCACTCTGAGGACACGGGGCCCTGGTGGCATAGTAAATTATTCGTTGGACTGCTAACTGCAAGGTCAGTAGTTGAAATCCACCAGCACTCCATGGGAGAAAGAGGAGGCTTTCTGTGTTGGCTAAGATTTACAACCTCAGAAACCCTGAATGGCAGCCAACCACCACCACCACCACCACCATTCTCAGTACCGAGACCCTTCTCAAAGTTGCCATATGTCCGCAGGGCTTTAAGGCCTGAAAGCTGGCCAGACCCCAGCTGGTCCAGAACCTGGGCTTTGGGCAGTTCCAGAGGGGAGGGATGTCAGCCCTTGAGGACTTTACAGCAGTACCAGGCACACCCGAAACGACATGTCAGGAAGGTGACCCAAATGTCCCAATATGCTTCAAGCCGAACGGGATTCAGGCACCCATGCCCCTCATCACCTAACTCCAACATTCCCAGTGCTTTCCATCTGGTCCTCAAAGCTCCCTTGTCCATCCTGCAGAGCCAGGCACAGAAACACTAGACTAACTAGACTGAGTTCTAATTTCAATGCCCCCCTCAGCCCTTTTTCCACGCTGACCCTGCTTTTAGGACCCTCATTAGCATGAAAGCCGGTCCCACGGATCTCTCTCTCATCTCCAAGGAATCCCTTCCAAGGACCAGATCAGTGGACTCGGCTGAACTGTGGGGAATCTGGGGCGCCCTGGAGGTGGGTGTGATTGGTGAGGTCGGCTGCATAGACAGAAATTGCTCAGTGGGGGCCGTCACAGTAACGGGGAGAGCAGAGGAATGCCTGAATGGGAGAGTGAGACGCTCTTTCCCTACAAGTCCACTTTCCCTGAGACGTGTAACAAAGGGGCTTCAGGGTTCTGGAGGCGCGTTGGTGTGTATGGTTCATGCCCTCGGGCCTGCCTCCAGTCACGGGCCACCAACAGAGTCCCAGCCGCACCGACTGGCTGCAGACAGGGCTGCAGAGATGAGGAAGCGCTGAGCCCTAGGTCGGCCAGGCCTGTGGCTTCCCCTCCCCCTCCGTCCAGGAAACCCAACCCTTCAGAACGCATTTGCATGAGAACAGAGAGGAAGCCGCGCGTCCACCGGGGTAGCCCAGGCTTTGGGCGCCGCCAGTCCGCTGGCGGGCCAGAGGCGGGGGCGGGGAGGAACCTCAGGCTCGCGCGCAGACGTTCCACTCGCTGAGACCCAGAACAACGCAGAGCCCACCCTGCCGCCTGGGACCAATCAGAGCCTGGGAATGAAGCAGCCGACTGCCTGCGAACCGGAAAGAACCTACGCAGGGCGCGGGGGGGGGATGGGCGGGACGACACATCGGCTTGACCCAATCGAAACGCAGTCTGGCCCGAGTCAGCCGGCTAGAAAGCAGCGGATTGCGCAGGCGCGCGCGTCCTTTGGGCCCTTCCCACCCCTGTTCTCTAGGCAGCGTTTCTAATCACGTCCACCGCGCCCGCCAGAGAACCAGGGGCGGGGAGGAAGAGGAGACTCGCTCAGTGCGAGCTCCTGCCTGCCTGCCTGCCTGCCTGCCCGCCCGCCCACCCCTGGAGGCAAACCAGAAGCAGAAGGTTGTGGGGTTTCAGGCCCAGTGAAGAGCAGAAAGAAAAGGTTCAGCACAGGTTAGGGTGAACTAGATGATGAACAAACAAGTGTCTGTAACTTGTAAGGACCCCTAGGACGGTACACCACCAAGTCAGCCATTGTTGATAAGTGCTGTCGAGTTAGTTCCGACCCATAGTGACCCGGTATAGGGTCTTCAACGAGTGGCTGGAGAGTTTGAACCACCAACCTTGCAGTTCAAACAGACTTTGCAGTCCAGCGCATTAACCCACAGCGCCACTCCAGGGCTCCACTTAAACCAGATTGTCAATGTTTCAAAATCAGTTCAATTGTAACAAAGTACACAAAGGCAAGATAACCACCCAACAGATGACAGATGAGAGTAGGACAGATGGAGTCCAGGGTTCTGTTGAGTCTAAAGTAGCACCAAAAAATCAAGTCTGCCTTTTGTCTAAATGAACCCAGTCCCAAGACATTAGCACTGTGGGCACACAGGACTGGGGACTGAGAGTAGGAGCCAAGGAGTAGTTGACAAAGCTGGGCCATTCCCCCAGGTACAACTGTAGAAGCCTGCGAGCCAGGAGCTGAGGGCATCACGGGTGATCCTCAGGACACACTCAGGCTGGCTCCAAGGGCCCTCTGGGATTGTCCAATTCAACCATCAACCCAGACTCCTCGGGAGATGCTAAGGCCCAGCACTGGAACGAAGACAGTGTCCTATGGGGAGGAGGGCTGCCATCCTCAGGGTCTGAAGGCCACCCCTGGGGAGCCCACCCCCAAAGTCCCTTCTACTTAGCAGGAGTTTCAGTGGGATGGCCACAGAAAGGCAGGAGAGAGAGGCTCGTCCACCGAAAGTATACACTCAAGAGATTCCCCCACTACAGGGTGATCTTTATTGGGCAAATGAGTGGGGTGAGGTGGGGCAGGCCAGGGTGGGCCAAGGAAGACTCTAGGAGGCTGAATCAGAAGCCTCGGAGCTATCCTTGACATCAGTGCTCTCGGTGGTCTCGCTGACCTCACTGAGGTCCTTGCTGTCTCCTCCGCTATCCTCAGCAGCCAGGCCCTTCTCCTCCCGGGAGGCCTCGCCCGAGATTGGAAGCGAATTGCCCTTGGCCTCCACCTTGTTCTCGATGGGTCCCAGCACCACGTGCCTGCCCTTCTCCTTCAGCTCCAGTTGCCGCCTCAGCTGCCGCCAGAATCCCCAGGAGGAGGAGAGAAGAGACAAGGACCAAAGTCTCCTCAGCTCATGGGAGCCCAGGATGGGTAGTTCAACAAGGCTTGGGGGCAGACTACAAGAGGAGAGGGAGCAGGCAGGTCAGGGAACAAGGGACTCAGTTGGGAGTCTCAGGTGGAACCCTGGCTCTGCTACTAATGTGAGCCGATGTCCTTGGCCCTCTCTGGGCCTCAAGCTTGCTCATCTATCAAATGAGGGGGACCAGGCCTCCCCATGAGAAAGCTGTTCTCTACAGTCCCCGGGCATCCGTCCCCTCTTCCCATGTGGCATGCCAGGGCTGCACAGGCTTCTAAACACTCTTCCTGGAAGGGCTGATTTAAAGTCTAGCCAAGTTCCATCTCCCCAGTTTACAGCTTGGAACACTGAGGTCCAGAGGACTACCACCCAGTCAGCCTCACCTCCCAGCCCCTCCTATATCTCTCGTCTTCAGAGACTTCTACCCAGATCAGGCAGAACTCTTACCTCGTCTGCCATTTGGGTGAGGTCCCGCTTCATGGCGTAAGCGTCTTCCCCATCTGCATAGTATTTGGGTTCCACTTCACTAATCCTGGGAGTGGGTGGGGAACAAGGAGGAAGCCCTCCAACTAGGAGCCACTTCTCCACCCTCTGGTACCCCTGGGGCCCTTTTCCAGACAGCACCTCAGCCTCCCCTTGGTCCTCTCCAGCAATGCCAAGCAGGAGGCAGAACACAGTGCCAGTCTTCTCCCAGAGGGCCCAGGACCACTCAGCAGTCCTCAGGTGACCACCAAGGGACCGTCCCTGGGGCGGCCAGTGAGCATGTGCTGCAGCCTCCGGCGGCCTCGTTCTAGAAGGGGCGCCAGGCCTGCTAACCAGGCCTACGAAGCCAGCCACTCCCCCAGTAGGGTCCACGTCCTTCCCCAGGACAGAGATCCTGCCTCAAATGTCCAGCCCTGGACACCACCACCTTCCACCACTGCCCTCCTCTTCCTCCCCCACCCAACAACAGCTGAACACCGTCTCGGGGGAGCCTCACTATCTAGCACCTTTCGCCACTGTGTTCTGAACTGGGTGAAGCCAGCCTGTGCCACAGCCGGGGCACGCAGGACTCTAAGTCCCTCCACTGTCCCTGTCCTTCTCAAGTTCTCAGAGCACTAGAGTCGCCAATTTCTCCAGATCTCACTTGGAAGCTTCTAGGTGCCTGGCCACATCTGGGCCTCTCAGCCTCTCTCATGTCTCGTGGGTTTTCACATTTCCATTCTCCAGCTTTCACCAAGAAGCCTTCTGGGTTCTTCCCAACACTGCCCTCCTCCAAGCCCCAGGCTCCTTCACTCGGGGAGACATGCAGCAGCTTTGCAGGGTGTGCAAGAGGCCTCTTCACTGTGTCGGGGTCTACAGGGTCTACATCGTACTCCCTCCTTACCTCAGCAGGCTCCAGGTCACCTCCACCCATCCCACCCCACTTGCTGGCAGGCAGCTTAGCACATCACAGCACTACAGACCTAGTTCCAGCCCTAGCCCCTTGGAAAAGTCAGGATTTACTTACTGAAAGTTGAGGGTGTTGGAATAGAGGTGCAGGGCGGCCCGATTACTGCAGGAGAACAAGGCACTGCTGAGCCACACAGACTTGGCCAGGGAGGGGCTAGCCTATGAGGGTCCTACCCTTCGCCCTGCCCATTTCCCAATAACCCCACCTCTGTACCGTCTCTAGAAGTGGGGTGCCCAGGACTTCCCACCCCCCAAACCTAGCATCTACCTCTTCCTGACATGCAGAGAGACGTATTTGGCATTGAAGTTCTCAATCATAGCTCGGGACGCCTGGTCCATCAGCTTCTGCGCCAAACCAAGGCGTCGGTGGGAACGTTTCACAGCCTGGGGAGCAAACGGATCAAAAGGTCAGGGTTCAAAAGCTGCCCCCACTAGCCCTCCTTTCACCCCATCAGAGCCTGGGGTGGGGTCCACACACCAGTGATGTGATATGTCCATGGGGTACATCATCTGGGTCCTCTTCCCTGGTATGAGAAGAAAGGCAGAGTTAGAAAGGCTGGACACCTAGATCCAGTGGCGGACACACTCTTCTTGGAGGGCTTGAAAGGTCACAGGCGGGGAAGGAGAGCGGGGACCCTCTCCTGTTACCACAGCTGACCCTGCACTCCCCTTGTGGACTCCAAATCCTGCAAAGCACCTTCCCGACTGTACAGTGTCAAATATACATTGGAAAGGGCTTTAAGCTGGAGTACCCTCAAATTCAAGCTGCTAAGCCAGTGAGGGGCCGGCCTGATGCGGTCACATGCCACGTGACTCCAACACAGGGAGTCTCTGGAGGTTCACCTGGGGCCACAGTGAAAGCCCAGTGGCTGCCTCTTGTTGAGGGAAAAGGGACGGATGCAGACGGAGCCCAGGGCATTTTTAGGCAGTTGGATGTCTTTTACGTGATGGACATGTCACGTCATAAATTTGTCCAAACCCACGGACTACCCAAACCAAGAGTAAAACCCAACTAGCATAAAGCACGGGCTGCCGGGGATACTCATGTCTCAAGATGGGGTTAAGACCGCAAGCCTGGCGTGGAAGGCCTTAACAAGGGCTCCAGAAACCACCTCCCGCCGCCCTGACGGTCCCCACCCAGGCCCCAACGCTGGCCTCCCTCCTCAGGGACTCACATTTTGGCCAGGACATAGCCCACAATCTTCCCGTTCTCATCCTCGGCGATGTAAGAGAGCTGGCGGGCAGGGGGAGGAAGCAGTCAGACCCCAAGTTCGAGGCCCGGGAAGCGGCCCCCCCACCGCCCCCCGCGCGCGCACCTGGGGCCAGGAGAGACCGTGGTAGAAATAGTACTTCATCTGGTAGTTCTCGGGTAGGCAGAGCAGGTTACAGTGCTGCATGTTCATCAGGTCCTCGGGCTGCGGGCGGCTCGGCGGTCAGGCGCGCGCCACCCGCCCATCCAGCCTCCCTCCGGCCCGAGGACAACTGAGTCTAGCCCGGGCTCCGACCCCGTGTGCTCCGGGAGCCCGGCGTCCCCCTCCTTCCCCACGGCGCGGCCAGGGTCCGAGCGCCCATCGGCTGACCGCGCCCTCGGAAACACGTGCATGCGGCCCCCGCCCCGACGCCGCCCGAGGCCTCACCCGCAGCACGCTCTCACCCTCGCATTGCGGATGTTCATGATGGCGTTGAAGGGTCGCGAGTCCCAGCGAAGCCACACCGGTGCGGCCAGGAGGGGCTGGACTCGCAAGGACGGCGGCGGAAGAGGCGGGACGCCCCGCCACCCACCATAGGCCAATGGCAGGAAGTTCGCCTCTGCCGGAACCTATCAGCACGCAGAGCGGTCCAGTGAGCGTGCACATTATGGTGGAGTGAGCCAATACGTGGAGAGTTACGGCGCGCGGGGCGGGACGATGAGCAGGGTGGGCCAATGAGCGGGAGCTCGGGGCTCGCGACGGGCCAATGCAAGTAGCGGTCTGAGGCGAGGAGGAGGCCGCCGGGCTGCCCCCTCCCGCGGGCCCATGGAGGCGCGTGCACGCACAGGTTGAGAGCAAACTGAGCTTTATTTCGCGCCTCAGTGACGGGCACGACGACCGGGGCAGAGGGCTTGGGACCTAGGACTTGTAGCCGGGGGCTAAGCGGCTCAGCAGGGCGTCCAGCATCTCCTCGCACATGGCTAAGCACCGCGGCACGTGGAAGCAGCCTGCAGGGAGAGGCGGCCGGCAGGGTCGAGAGAGGCGCGGCCCCTGCGCCCCCCACCCCCACGCACTGCTGTTCCCACACCACTCACCTTTAAAAGGTCCCCCCTTGATGGTAAGGGCCACCTTCCCCTCGCGGTTTAAGTAGCCAAACCACTCCCCATGCGCGCGATCTCGGAACTGAAAAAATGAATGACAGCTGGTGGCCACAGGCACTGCCCAGATGACAGGGATCTGGGAAGACGTGCCCCCAGCACAAGTGGGCCGCTCCCCAGGGACAATGCTGGAAGCTGGGGTGGGGGGGGGTGCCTTTTCCTTTCCTGTAGGCAAGTCTCCAGCTGTACGACCAGCCAACAGACTTGAGGAAGGTCTTGGTGTCCGTGGACACCGGGCTCTGAGAGTGATGTCTTGGTGGTTCCCGAGGCTTTAGCCCATTGAATTGCATCAGTTACCAACTGAAGGACAGTGCGAATGTCAGGTGTTCATGCCTCAAAGCAGAACTGACTCTCGCCCTCATTCCTTCCTGTACCACCTGAAACCTGCCCTGGGTCTTGCTGTCTGGGAGACATGTACTACAGGGTCCTGTCGGAAGTCCATCTCAAAAGGCTCTCCCACCCCCAGAAACCCACACTTACTGCCCCAGAGTAAGAGGAGACCATCACCTCTTGCTCCCACCAGGGCTCAGTTTTAGGATCACAGAGGAAACATTTAAACACATTATCAAAGGGTCTTTTCAAACTGCCTATAAAAGTTGATGTATTCTTTATGGAGAGGAAAAGTAGTTCTGCCTCTCCATGCATTGTTTACCCCTTCATTTTGTTTGTTTGCACAACTGGATCTACTCCCTAGATCTTAAAGACTCTTGACACTTCTCACTCACCGCCCTGTGAACCTGTCCGCGTTCACCTGTAGGTCTGAATGCGTGCTTTGTGGATTCTACTGTTCTGCAGGCCAGTGCGTAGTGAGGTACCTAGCCATGAGAACTTGTTTCCTTGTTTTGTGCCATCTCTGCGAAGCGCTGTAGGATAAGCACTGGACTGTTAACCACAAGGTTCACAGGGCTTTCTGCACCTTTGTAGATTGGCAGCCTCCAAAACCTAGTGTCGTTGAGTCGGAACCAACCGACTCCGGGGCAGTGAGTGAGGGACTGTCATCTCTACATCTGTAGCCACAACATGATAGAAACACAGCTGGCCATTTCGGTTGCTGACCAAGTGCTGCCAGTCCCCTGCCGTCCACAGCCTCCATCATGGGAGCAGATGCTCAGCTTCATGTAGAGGTCAGTGCCCAGAAAGGTCTGATTTTCCCCAAGTTTTGGAGCCCATTGCTCTAGAAGCCCTGCCCTACGAGGGTTGACTGGCAGGGGCCATAATAATAATATGGAATCTTATTAATAAGGAATTAAAATGAAGAAATTGAGACATAAAGAAATGAGACACGGGGACCCTGCACATAGAAGAATTCATTGTTTTTTGCAAAGCAACAATTCTTTTCCTTGGATAGCAGAGCTACAAGGAAGAAATATTCTATGCACAGGTCCCTAGTGAATTTTTCTCTTGTTGAATCATTTTCTGATTTATTCATGATTTTATTAGTATCCCTTTACTTTAGATTTTGACTCTCCTACACTTTAGTATATCTTTATTACAAGTTAGAAGCCATATATTAGCTACATTTTATTCTACTTGTAATCATAGGTAGTTTTAATACTTATATTAACAATGTTCTTAAGATTGCTGGGAGACAGGATTTGTCAATTGAATTACTACCAGCTTAGGCTTAGTGATTATAAACATTCTTCCTTGTAGCCTTAGTTTAAGGCAACAAAGAATCCTTAAAAGCAACTAGGCCATAAATAAGGGCTGTGGGTACAAGAATTCCTAAAAACAATTAGACTATCGATAAAGGCAATGGGTATATACAGATACTAAATAAAAAGTCTAACTTAGACGTTGTTAAATTAATGATCAGTAAAATAGAGAAGTTGTTTTTCATAGCCTCAGTTTTTTAAATGTTCTGATATAAATGATATTTTTGTAGGCTATAAACAGTGTATGGAAGAAGTTAATGGAGAGTTAATTGCACCTAACAACTGAAAATAACAAGATTTTAACAGACAAAGGTTAAGAAACATATGTGAAGGTTAACTTGCTTCTCAGAGAAAAGAATAGAATTATGTAGGAACAAATGTTTAACTGAAAGGTTTCAAGGCACCAGGAGGGCTCTCGTATGTGTTGCTTTAACTTCTCATCTTTGTTGTAAACCATGAAGAATGGGCCTCAGAATAGATTATATTTTGAAGACATTGATTACTATGAAAGCAATGTTTTTTGTAAGGGGGTTGTAAGATAGAATAAGGAGAGTAATGGGAAGGAGAAGGAAAAAGAATAAAGAGTAATGTAGAGAAGGAAGGGAAAAGTGGTGGGGAGTAGTGTGAAGAAGGAGGGTAAAGGAGTACTGTGTAGAAGGAAAAAGAATGCGGAGAGAAGGAAAAGAGAATGGAGTAGAGAATGTGGTGGAGAATGGAGGTAAAGAGTGAAGGGGAGAGTGAAGAGTAAGTAAAGAAATGGAAGGAGATTACAAAAGCAGGAGGGGAATGAAAGCAGGAGCAGGGGAAGGGAGAAAAGAAGCAGAAGAGATGAGCAGGACAGTAAAGAATGAGAGAAGAATAAAGCATGTAATAAGAAGATTTTGAATTCATCAGGACTTATCAACTATGTGTAATTCTTTTTCCACCTACGGCCGCACCCGCCCCTTCCGGAAAAATCCTTGAAATAAACTTGCCGGGGCTGGCTCCCTGCAGTTGACCAACAGCCTGAGTATTTCTTCCTCACCTCCCTTGTCCACTGGGCCCCCTAGGTGTCCACTGCTTGTAATGCCTGCTTTGGTTGCTGGGCTTCCTTCTCCCCCACCCACCCCCAGTTGGGTCTCCTTAGCTGGGCCCTCCCTCCTCCCTCTTCTCATTGGTGCTCAGTTCCCCTTTCTGGCTCCTTTCCATTCCCATGACACCCAAACTTCTGTCCGGCCCAGACCTCTCCCCTGAACTAGATTCAGAATCTAGCTCCGCTTGATTTGGGTGCCCAAGGGACATGGCCAACACAGCAAGATGCCCTCCAGTGCTTCAGCAAACCAGCCCTGCCCCTCTGGTACTAGACCAAACAGTGTCCCCCAAATTCATCTCTGTCCAGGACCTTGGAGAGTGACCTCCCCCTGGCCCTCAATTCCATGAGAAGTGTCCTCTGAGACTTTCCCTTCCCACCCCAGATTGGAGCCTGGGATTCATCCTGATGCTTCTGATCAGAATCACCTGGGGCCCTTAAAAAACGGAGCTTCGGATTCTGCCAATGGGAGAGCTTCCAGCAAGGGGTCAAACCAGAAGGAACTGGTTCAAAGTCCTAACCAGCCCCCAAAGGAACTTCCTGTTACAATGTGTGGTCCTTGGTTTCAGCAGCCCCAGGGCACTCACTCCTGACTCAGACCATGTGACCCACCCCTGGGGGGAGGGGCACAGGACGGGGATGACACACACCCACTCTTGCCATAGACCTTACCTGTGTCCCCTGTCTGAAATTTTCTCCCCCTAGAACGCCCCCAACGCAGCTCCCCTCACCGCCCCTGCCCAGCCCCTTGGACCGGCTTCCTTGTTCTCTGCTGTCTGGCTTGTTCACTGGTTTAGACCTCTGTCTCCCCTCCCCCATCTGGATGTAAGCTTGATGGCACAAAGGGGGGGAGGGCTCACCTTGTGGAAGGTGTACTTTGCGATCTGGCAGAAGTGGCGCAGCAAGATCTGTTTCCCAGTTTCACAGTAGCCCATGAGGAAGGCGACCATGGCTTCAGTGTGTGGCCACCAGAGCTTCATGGACCACTCCAGCTGTGAGCAGAGGCGGTGTCTTAGCGCCCAGAACTACCTTCCTAAGTAGGCTCCTGCCTTCTGGTCAGTCTGTCTTAAAACCCCTTGGGCACTGGGCTCCCGACCCTGGCTGTGACAGCCACCCTTCTGCACAGAGCCTTTCAAAGACACCATGGCTCCTTCCTCACTGGTGGGGGGCTGCATGAGCAAGGGAGTGGGCAGCTTAGAATAAGACTCCTCTCTCACCTGGGTAGGGCAGAAGCCGTCGACATCCTTGAAGTAGAAGAGGCCTTCATGATCGGGGTCCCATCCTGAGAGGAAGGGCTTCAATAGGAACTTGTCGATGACATGGTCGAGTAGCTTGGGGTCACCTTTCCGGGTGGCATAACGGAGCATGAACCAGCCGGCTTCCAGTGCATGGCCTTGGGGGTCAAGAGAAGGCAGGAACTGTGTTTCCTGGGGAACCTCCCTTCTTAATAGTGGGGGCTTCTCTGAACACCCACCCTGGGCACCTGAAGGGCCTGGCCCCCTAGGCCCACTTGGCCGTCTCACACCTGGGTTCTGGTGTCTCCCAAGACAGCCAGCAAGTTCACAGCCTTCCTCAGTCACGTTCTCCAGTACCGCAGTGCCATTCCTCTGTGGGTGAGGGGCAGGAGGAAGGCCTTTCAGTCTCTAGCCCTGTGCAATCAGCCAGGAAGCCCTCGACCTTGGTCTTCCAAGGCCCTCCTCCCGCCTGGGCCCCACTGCTGGGTGGGGCGTTGGAGGAGCAGCCTGCTTCCCTCCCTGGAGCCTAGGCCTCAGGAAGGGAACTACAGACGGGGAGGGACTTCTCCTTTGGAGACCTGGTTCAGGGCTCCAGCTCCTCTGCCTGCTGGCTCAGCCAGGTTCCCCACCTTCCCAGGCTCTGGGGTGTGGGCAGTGCCTACAGCCCCACCTGGACATGGTTAAGGATCCTGCTGGCACACCAGTCTCCCAGCTCTGCGTATTTGGCGGCCATCTGCTCATCTGATTCCCCAAACTGCTCTACCAGGCACAGCATCATCATGGGCACGGCCAGGGGCTCTGCGTCAGGGGTCCCCAAGTACTGAGGCTGGCCCAGCCCCGTGGGGTCCTTCTGAACCCAGTACACCAGCTGCTCCATCATTGACACAGCGAGGTTCTGGAAGAGGGCAGGCGACGCTGAGGAGGACCCCAGAACCAAGGGCAGAGGCGAGCGCCCCCCAGCCCCACCGCAGGGTGAAGTGGGGGTGCAGTGTGGACTGGCCTGTCTGCCCCAGGACCTGGGAGGATGTGTGGAGGCGGGGGAAGAGAAAGGGAGACCCCTCCTCCATGATGACAATGCAGCAGTCAGGGGCCCCAGCCCCATACATACCTGGTATTGTGACTCCCCTGTGATCCGCCATAGCTCGTTCATGGCCATGGTGTAGAAACACTCACTGAAGATGGTGCGCTGCACCTTAACAGGGCGGCCGTCCCTCGTCAGCACAAAGGCACATTTCTTCCCAGGTGGTGCCACCTGGGCGTGGCGCAGCAAAAAGTCACCACCTGGAGTTGGCAAGTGGGTGTCCTTTAGAACTCAGGTGAGGAAGCCACCTCCTTTGGCCCTCCCAAGGTCTTCACTTCTAGACTCCTGGGGTGGCCCTGTAGGATCAGCATTGGACTATGAACCACAAAGTTGGCAGTTCAAACCCCCCAGCTGCTCATCGGAAACCCTGTTGTTAACTGCTGTGAATCGGAACCAACTTGACGGCACTTAACAACAGACCCCCTCTAGGAATCTCACCCTACGGAGGAACCACTGAAGTAGGGGTGAGCACCTGCTTTGGCTGCGTCTAGAAGCTCAGGGAGGTGGAAACGTTCAAACTTGCGGTACAGGTAACAATACATCCACACCTGGCAGAGAGCCGGCAGAACACTGCTTCAGTGGGCAGCACGGGGGTCGGGGTTGGAGTGTGTGGAGGAGGTAGCACATGAGCGGGCCCTACCTGCCGCCCCTGCAGCCAGACATACTTGAGGTCATCATACACCCGCCCCTCTTGGTCCAAGCAAGTAAAGAAGCCTCTGGGAGGAAGCACAGCACGAGAGTGTTTAGTAAGAGGAGGGAGGCCTCCACAGCCCGTGCCCCGGGACCACAGGAGAGAGGGACTGGAAGGCGATCTGTGGTGGCCTGGGAGCTGGGGGCTTTGAAAGGAGCAAAGGCCCTGCTGAGGGGGAGGCCCACCCGTGTTCCCGGTCGTGGGAGTGCTTCATCCAGAAGGCCATCACTCGATCCAGCTCTTGCTGCACATGCTCCTTCCAGGTCTTCAGGGTCTCTAGGTCCTTCTCCATGTCCTAGGGGGAGTCAGGGGCTGAAGACTTCGTCCCCATGGTCTCCCCAGGTCCCAATCTCTACAACCAGGCTCCTCTGGATCCCGGATCCCCCCAGACTCAAGTGTCTCAGACCCCCAGATGCAGCCCTTGGGTTTCCCCTACCTCTTGGTGGGCTCCGGAACCAGCTCTAGGGCTGCCCCCCACCAGTCCCAAGACCTTCTGGGGTAGCTCCCTCCCCCAGTCCTACCACTGGTTGCTTGATCGCTCCCGGAGACCCCTGCTTAGCCCTCCCAGCTCTCCAGGAAGCCAGATGAATCCGCTCTCTGTCCGGTAACAAACCACTCAGCTGACTGAGCTGCGCCCCGCCCACCCGTTGCCTAGAGACTCCGCAGGGGCGTGGCCAGTGGTGAGGGGCGTGGCTCGGAGGGTGCACGGTTCGGCCCCACCCACCGACCCCCGCGCTGGCCTCTGCTGGTGTGCAATGCCCGTGGACCTGGCAGGAGGAGCCAGACCAGGCAACCAGCCTGGGGAGACTCCAAGAGGGACGTGGAGGCCCAGCCGGGTGGGGTGTAGCAGGAGGGCGCAGAGAAGTGGGGAAGGACTCCAGTGCCCCGGCAGGGACCCCACCTGCCCTTCAGCCCCCAGAGTCACCAAGCTCCACCCCGTTGGTGTAAGAAGTCTGTGTTCACAGTGGCCTGCCGGCCGGGCCCTTTGCGTACAGACTTCTCACACCAATGGGATGCAGCTGAAAGGTCCGCTGGTCACTGCTGTGCCCCCAGGCCTGCTTCCCAGAGCCTGGTCTGCCCTGGCCACTCTGTTCCACACAGTCACATGGCTCAGAGGAAGGCTGGTTGAACTGTCCCCTTTCCTCAGTGAGGCAGAACATCAGCAGAGAGTTAGGGGTTGCCACTGCCTGAAGCCCCAGGTCCCAAGCATAGCCTGAGCTCACTGGGGTTCCTGGGACAGCGGTGCTGAGATGGTCCAGTCTCTGGGGATAGACAGTCTGCTGGTCTTTCCTGTCACCACCGGTTACCACCTGCCAGGTTGTGGCTGCTCAGGGAAGTTGGGGGGGGGGGTAGTTTATGCTGAAGGGTCTCAAAGGTCAACCTGTCACATGCCTGGCCAATCTGCAAGGCCCCACTGGGACTGAAGCCAAATGCTTTCCCCATCTCTCTCCCTGGACCGTCCCCTGTCCCCAAACCACTGTCCTCTGAGTGGTCCACATCAGACTTGCTATCAGGCCTCCTGATAGCAAGGAGCTAAGAGTGTCGCTGTACCAGATGCCATGCCTCAGAGCCCACACATGTACTGCATACACATACACACACACACACACACACACACACACAGCAGGGCAGAGGGAGAACTTAAGTGTTGCTTCCAATTTCTCCAGTGAGCACCAGTGGGCTGGATGTGAAATCAGGGGCTCGATGACAGAGACTTAACTCAAGAGCAGGCATGTCCCCCAAAGCCTGATGGGTGGGCAAACGGGGCCTTGTCTCCAAAGGGATCCTGGAGGAGGGAGGCCACATCCACACGACAGGGACGGCGGGACCTGCTTCCGGCAACCTGGTCCCAACCCAGCTTAAAGCCAGGAACCAACTTCTCCAGTAACTGTCCAGGCAAAGGCCCTCCCCAACAAAGAACTCAAGACAGCAGACAGTTATTCCAAAAAACGTCTTTTAATTGTTCAAAATAGCACAAAACGACATCGCACTATGGTAATAATGGAGTCACGGGGCTTCTTCTACAATGAATGGACAGGTGTACAGCTCTGATACAGGCAGAAGGGGGGGTGGGGCCAACAATGGGACCAGGCCTAGAGAGCCTGAGGTGACGAAACAGTGACAGTTCCCACAGTAAGATGTACTATACAAGGACCTGCCCCCCCCCCAAAGCCGCAGGTGGTCAGGCAGAGGCTGGAAGCTGCTTACCCACCCCCGGCGCCAGGCTCCAGGGCAGATGATGGCGGCTATTTCAATCCTTCTGTGGAACCTGCCTACAGCTTGGGGAGTGGGAGGAACATTAAGCTGGCTCATTGACCAAACAGAACCCCAGGCTCCCCTCAGGCCTTTGGAGGGCTGGGTGGCTGCTGCTAACTAGAGGTCCTGCCCCACCATCGCTTACCTCCACCCTCACCCCAGCTGCCTCCACTTCCTGGTTCCCCTTAACTTGCTTCCTTTCCCCTTCCGTTTACAACCTTGCTGGGGGACGGAACTATCAGAGCAGTTCAGGGTTCAGTCTCCATTCCGGCCTGGGATGGGCGGGACCCCCCACTTGTCTTTTCTAAGACACCTGACTGGTCCCAACCCATCTTGAGCTTGACTCTGGAGATGCAGGGACACCACCCCTTGGGCTGGCTTCCCAGCTCACCCCTCTTCTGGGGGAACACCCACAGGACCTAGGGTTCCTCCTCACTCCCACCAGAAAGATCATTGCCAAGACAAAGCTTAGCCAAGGAGGAAAAATAAAAATGATACACATTCTGTACACAACTAACAACAACACAAAGACAAAGCCCACACGCTAACGCTAAAATTACAATAAAAAACGTTAACTTCATCAATGTCAACTTAAAACAAATACAACAGATGCAGCAGTTGGTGCTATCCCCCGGCCTCACGGCCACCTGCACACTACAGTGCGCGGCACAGCCTGGCCGCCGGGCTCCTTCCCCCCTTTTGCTTTACTCTTTCGTCTGGGTTTCCGTGGGCCAGAGGGTAAGGGAGAGAAGTGGGTATCAAGGCCTCTGAGGCGGTATCTAAGCTCCCCAATGGAAATCGCCGTGCGCAGAGACAGGCTGGAAAAGCCTAGGGAAGGGGTGATCGATCAGTGGCGGAGAACAGAAATGTACACACATCCAGGAGAAGCAGGGACTGAGCGCAGAGGTGGGCAGGCCTCCACCTCAGGCCATGCCAGGAGCAGCAGAAGGTATGCAGGGTCAGGGGGGCCCCTAGGAAGGTGTAGGGGTACAGTAAGGGTGAGGGCAGGAGGAAGCAGCACTCCTGTCACGTGCTCATCGCTCCTCCTCCAGCAGCCTCCCACCAGCCAGGGTGAAATGTGCTTTCTTTAGGTGATTTCTCGTTAAAAACAGAGAAGAGAGACAGCGTGAACGGATGACTGACAAGCACGCGATCAAACGAACGAAGGAAGGAAGGAAGGAACGGTGGCCAGTGAGGATGAAGTGCCAATGGGGTGGGACGAGGCAGGGCAGGGGCCCCTGGCAGGCGGTGTTCCTGAAGCAGAAGGGAAGGGGAGGAGTCTGGAGAAGAATCTAGGTGCTGGCCACATTCCTCACTGACCGTCTGCCTTCGATTTCTTTGGAGCGGATTTCCTTGGGGGCGGGGAGGAGAGGAAAGGCACCGTTATCACCACCCCACCTTCCACAGTCTCTACCCACCACCGCCAACCTCCGAAGGGTCCTGAAAGGGGCTTCCTGCTTACATTTCCGGAGAGGACATGGGCCGTTTGCTGGCCGGCTTGGTGCCAGAGCCGTCTTTACTGGTTTCTGTAAGGAGAGGTGGCACCATAAGGCAGGCAGAACGGAGGGCATGTACCGCTCACACAGACAGCAGTCCCGAACAAACCCAAAGACATGAAATTCCACTGTCATCTAGTGGATTGTGACTCAGCGAGCCGATAGGGCGTTGCCAATATTTATGGGAGCAGGCAGCCTGCGCTTTCTCTTGGGCTTGAACTGCTGACCATGCGGTTAGAAGTCTAGCAACTAAGGCATGGTGGTGGCAGTGGGGAGGTAAATGATCTGGACAGCCGAGGAGAAAGTTACCCTGGTCGCCAGTCCTGTACCTCCAAAGCCAGCCAGGCAGCTAGCCCCTCCTGGATGGGGTGGGAAAGGAGAGAGCCTCAGGCCAAGACTCACCTTGCAACCACCTGACTTGGGTGGCGGGGCCGTAGCCCTTTTCATTGCGGGCGGCAATTCGGAAGATGATGGCAGGTTTGGTGGTGTAATCGATGTGAGCGTTGGACAGGCTGGAGGATTGCACCAGGCAGGAGGGGCTGGGCCCACAGTACACCCGCATGAAAGCCAGTTGGGCCGGGGCTGCGCTCTTGGGCTCCCCACTGGCCTGTGTGCTCTGGATGGCCAGGTAGACCGAGTATTCGATGATCTTGCCAGAAGTCACGGAGGGTGGCTCCCAGGTGAGGTGAGCACCGTCTGGACTCTAAGACATACGAAGACGTCAGGAGATCAAGGCCAGCCTTCTGCAGCCTTTGTGGGCATAGCCCTCCCCCCGTAAAGGGGGGTCCAGGCCAAGTCCAGCAGCTCACTATGGAGGGAAGGAGGGGAGGGCGTGGGGAGCTGGCAGGGGACAGAGGCCACAGACCTTATCACACAGCAACCACGCTCACCTTGCTTATCTTAATGGCACAAGGGGCCCCTGGGAAGCCAGGCAGACATGTCTTGAAGGCGGAAATTTCACTGAAGGGACCCCGGCCACAGGCATTGACTCCAGCCACCCGGAACTTGTAGGCTGTTCCAGGCTGCAGCTCCTGCTTCTTCAGCTGGTTATAGTCTGGGGCAGAGCTCCAGTCCTCCTAGGAGAAGACAGCGGAAAGCACATTGGGGGACGAAACTGAAAATTCCCTCCTCCTTCCGGGTACCCACCCAGCTCCATTCAATTCCCCCCAAATGCTCTGGCCCAGCCCCCAACCCCAGGGTACTTACGTCAGAGGAGACAGCAGCGTCATCTGGTGGCAGGAAATAGTGTGTCACCATAACATTGGTGCCCTTAATAACCCCCACGTCAAACCACTGGTTCTCCTTCTTCACAGGGGCTTTGCTGGGCGGGGGTGGGGGATCAGGTTTCTGGAAGACCAGAGCCAAGAGACACAATCAGACACACAGCCCTCTAGGCAGGACATGGCCTCCCTCCCTGTGGCCCTCCACGCCTGACTCACCCCCCCCATGGTCTCTATGCCGTTGGCTACTTCCGTTAAGGTAGCTGCAGCTTGCAGCTTCGCGGGGCTGGCGACCACAACTGGCTGGGGGGCCACAAACGTGTTCGATGGTGCCAAACCTGGGAGAGAGAGAGAAAGTGTCAGGACAAAGCATGCAGCCCAGCCTCCCTTGGCCCCTTGCCTTCTGCTGGACATACAGTTCCCCTTCCCCACCCCCCGACCCCCAGCTCACTCTCAGTGGCGGTCGAGGGCAGCAGGGCCACAGTGCTGGGGACAGCAGCAGTCAGTTCATTGAGGCAGTTGCTCTCGATGGTGGGGTCGTTGAGGCTGTCAGCAGGGGCCAGGGCCTCGGTGGGCAAGTGGTGTTGGGCCTGGGCCTGAGCCTCCTGCAGCTGCTGCTGCTGCACCAGGGCAGCCAGTTCCTGCTGCGTTAGCACAATGGGGATGGTGGTGGGCTGGCCCTCCTGGCCCTCGGCTGACAGGTGGCCTAGCTCTGCCTGGGCCACAGTGGTCGCCGCCTCAGATGTGTCCATTGGCTCCCCAGTGCCTGCTCCAGGAAGGAGGAGAGGACTACTCAGTAGCACAGCATTCCAAGGAGGCCCACCCAGCTCCCACTGGACTCTCCCAAGGCACCTACCCATGACGGCCTGCTGGGCGGCCTGGAGCACCGCCTGGATGGCCAGGGCCTGGGCTTCCTCTGTGGCCGCAGCCTGGGCAGCAGCTTCCGCTGCAGCAGTCACGGCCAGCTCCTCAGGAGTGAGCCCTGTCACCATAAGGGTGGTGGTGCCTGCCTGGGCCTCGGCCATCAGCTCTTGGGGCAAGGCCAACTGGTCTACCTCTGATTGTGTAGGTGGGGGTGGTTGGACTACCACGGTGGCCACCACTGCGGAGCTGGCAGGCTCCTGGCCCGAAGACGGGTCCCCTGTACTGCTCAAGTCCACGGCTGCCTGGAGCTCAGGGTCCTGGGTGGCCGTCAGGGCGTCAGCGGGCTCCCCCAGCAGCGCTGTGGAAGCTGGCTGCAGGAGCTGACGCGGGGGGAGCTGCTGGCGAGGCCCGGGTGAGACCTGGAGATCCTCTGGGGGCTACAGGAAGGTAACAGCAGATAAGAAAGGGTATGTCCAAAGTTTCCGTGTTGGCTATAGTCACTGCTATCATGGCTGGAATGGGGGACTTTCAGTCACGGATGGTGGTGGTGATGTGCTGTCGAGTCGGTTCCGACTCACAGCGACCCTGGTACAAGGTTTCCGAGGCCGTCAATCTTTACGGAAGCAGAAAGCCTCATCTTTCTCCCGTGCAACAGCTAATGGTTTAGAACTGCTGACCTTGCCGCCGTTCGCAGCCCAATTCATAACCACTACGCTCGCTCACTGATGAGATCCTCGAAAAGGCAAGAAGGAGGCGGCCAGAACACGGCAGGTGGGCCAAGGAGCGGGCTTGCTTAGGATCTTCGGGGCCTGACTCATCACTGGTTACTTGGCAAGGACGCTAACGTGTGTACGTTATGTGTTGGAGGATAGAGGGTGGAGGGTGGCAAGTGAGGGAACAGTGCTTCGTAGACAAAGGGTGTCCGAGGACCACCTTTACAGGGCTACAGTGACTCGACCAGCCACGGAGAGCAGCTAGGAAATGGAAGCAAAGTGCTGCAGACACACAGAGGACTCGCCTTCCGGACCCCCCGCAAGCAAGCCTGCCCTTTTATGGTCTGGAAACAGCACCAGAATGCACTGTGTGCAGCACAAGAGCGACACCTGGTGCCAGCTCCGGAATTGCAGCTACAGAGCCATCTCCATGCCCCCCGCCGCCCTCTGGAGAACAGAGCCAGCCTTCTGGGGCTCTCACCGGCACAGAGGGGCCTGGAACCGGTGTGGACTGTGTTACTGTGGTAACTGCTCGCGTCAGGGTGGAGGACACGGTTGTCGTGACAGCGCTGGAGCTGGCGACGTTCCCGCTGTCGCTCTGGGTGCTCTCTGCCTCACCCTGATCGCTGGCAGCTGGGGGGGGGTCTGTGGGGGGCAACAAAGCAGAGTCACGAGGGCCTAGTGGAGCCTGCCAGTTGAAGCCTGCCACCCCCTTATAAGAGTGGCCTCCAGTGCCCCCAGCTGCAGCAGTCCGGCACGCTGCTTGCGACAGTCATCTAGGTGCCCATACTCACCTTGGTTCGAGCTCATGTTGGAGGTGACGGTGGTAGCTGTGTGGGTGGTACCCGTCTCATGGGTCTCACAGGGCGGGTTGGAGCAGACCCGCTGGGTTGGGAAGGGAGTCAGCAGTGCGGGGTTGGCCTGGGAAGCTGCCGGGCTTGGGGCCGCCGGATCCAAGATGGTCTCCAGGTCTCGGCGAGCAGCGCTGTCATCGGGAAGCAGGGCACCGACGCTGACGGTCATGGTGGTGCCGGTGGAGGTGGTCTGGTGTGTCTCACAGGGGCAGCTGGCAGGGGCCTGCTGCTGCCCACCCTCAGGCTGCCCCGAGCCACTGTTGGAGGTGGCGGTGGTGGCTGTGTGGGTGGTACCTGTCTCATGGGTCTCGCAGGGTGGGTTGGCGCAGGCTCGCTGAAGGCCACCTGCATTGGAGGTGGTGGCCGTGTTGGTAGTCCCCGTCTCATGGGTCTCACAGGGTGGGTTGGAGCAGACCTGGGTCCCTGGGGCCAAAGGGCCCAGCAGTGCCTCCAGGGCAGCCATAGTCATCTGGCGCTTCTCACACGCAGGCTTGGGGGCGCTCTGGGTCTCCCCGGGGCCCATGGCGGAGCGGGCCATGGTGGGGGTGTTGGTGGTGTGGGTGTGCTGTATCTCTGGCTGTCGCCCCAACGGCACGAGCTGACCCAAACCAGCTACCGGGCTGTCCTTGTTGCTGGTGCCACCAAGCCCAACTCTGCAGCTTGGAGGGGCCAGCTGGGCAAAGCCGGCACTCCCAGCCTCAAGCAGCAGGCCGGACACCCTGATGGGGGCTGCGCACAGTGGCCCGGTGGCTCTCACAGTCATGGTGGTACGGGTGGAGCTGGTCTGGCGGGTATGGCATGGGGGGGGCTTGCCTGAGCTAAGGGATCCCTCAGCCAGTGCAGCGCCGACAGCAACCCGGCCCACAGCAGAGGTGCCGGCGGCACAGGTGGGGTGCACCTCTCGCTGCTGGTTCCCAGCTGCAGGCTGTCCCGAGCCAATACTGGCCATGGCAGTGGTAGCGGTGCTGGTGATGCCCGTCTCGTGGGTCTCGCAGGGCGGGTTCGAGCACTCAGGCTGCCCAGACATGGTGGAGGTGGCGGTGGTAGCGGTGCTGGTGGTCCCCGTCTCGTGGATCTCGCAGGGCGGGTTCGAGCAGCCGGTGGGAGCTGGCCCTCGTGGGGGGGCCGACAGGTTGGCACTGACTACTGTGGCAGTATTGGTGGTCCCCGTCTCGTGGGTCTCACAGGGCGGGTTAGAGCAGACTCGGACTACACTGCCATTCTGTTGCCCGACGGCAGAGCTCACAAGTGGGGCACCTGCCTCCTGCCTGTCACAGACGAACTGAACCTGGGGGGCCTGGGTATGTCCCAGATTGGCCACAACTGTGGTGGTGGCCGTGTTGGTGGTACCCGTCTCATGGGTCTCACAGGGCGGGTTGGAGCAGACCAGTGTCACGGTGCCAGGCTGCACATCGCCCTGGCCTGAGTCAGCAATTGTCACAGTAGCTGTGGGCTGCTCTGTCGTTGGCGAGGCCAGAATGGACACAGGCAGATCGTGCACTGGCTGGGCCTCGACCCCGCTAGGTGCTGTGATCAGAGTCACCTGGGTAGGCTGGGAGACAGGCTGGGGGAAAGAGAACAGGATGATCAGTGATGCCACCGTCCACGGCCTGTCCTTCCCAGGCCCAGCCCTAGATTACTGCAGGTGACTCTTAAGGAGAAAGGAGCTCAGGCAGGTCCAGGAAGCAGGCCTGCAAAGACCTTTCTACACCTTGTGGCAGCAGAAGGCAGCTGAGCTGGGGTGCCCTAGGGGACCCCCGAATTCTCAGTACTGACACACACACTGTCCTGCATTCAGTGTCGCCAGCGTGCTCGGCCCTCCACCCCCCTGGGGCTGGCCTGAGCCTTCCAGCCACACTCCTACCTGCATGGTGATGGTGGGGGTGGTGAGGCCACCAGCAGCGGTCAGCGTGGTCTGAGCAGCGGAGACAGTGATAGCTGTGGGATTGATAACCTGGCTGGACAGGGTGGCGATGGTCCCCAAGGTGGTGATGGGTGTGGCCAGTGAGGCACTGGTGCTGTGCCCACCAGCCCCAGCCAGGCTGGTCGAGACTGTGCCCGTCACAGTGCCAAGGGTGGTAACACCTAGAGGGAAGAGAGAAGGCGGGGCGGGATGACAGCCCAGTGCAACTCCAGCCCCATGACTGGGGCCCCCTTTCCAGAAGCTTCTTGCTCAATGGTGCGAAGACTGGGGACTGGGCACAACAGGATGGGCGGGCTCAGGGGATCCAGCCTCATTAGAGAGGCAGGGACAAGTGACACACAAAGATCGGAACTCGGTCACTGCTGAGGACCGTACCAGTGGGCGACGTACCTGTGGTGCCCTTCACAACCAATGTGGTGACCGCTGGCTTGACGGCAGAGACGGTAACTGGGGTGACCAAGCGGACGCCACCCATGGGTACAGTACGGAGGATGGTGCCTGGTTGTCCGGGGGCCCCCTTCAGCACCACCTGGACACCGGAAGACCCACCAACGTCACCCGCAGGCTGACTAGGCCCAGGGCTGTCCCTCCCCGGCCCCTCTGGAGGCCACCCGTGGCAGCTGAGGCCTTGAGAGGGCTGTAAGCTGTTGGAGGGACTGAAACTACGCTAGAGTGAAGAGAGCAAACGTGTCTCACCTGGGTCACTCCTTGCTGACCATGGCCAGTGGCGATCTTAGGGACAGCTGTGATGATCTTAGCAGGGGCTCCAGTCCCCGAAGTCATCACTTTGGTGGTGATGATGGTGATGGGGGACTTGATTCCAGGAGTACTGGTCACACCTGGGTAGAAGGGGCCAGCTGGTCTTCAGCAGATCCTCTATCTAGCAGGGTCCGGCCCCTCCCGAGGGCGTGTCAGCTTCCTGTGTCCCCCAACTGCCCTCCTGCCCTTTCCCCTGCTGCTCTTCCAGCCACAACCGGAAGAGGCCCCGAAGCCCCCGATAAGGAGGCGAAGCCGGGAGGAAGGCCTCTCAGAGCCTACCTGTGGCACCGGCCTGGGTAATGATGGCTGACATGGGGATGGTCTTAATGATGGTGGTGGTGCCGGGCTTGGTGGTGCTGGGAGACACACTACTGATGCCCAGGATGGTCGGCTTGCTGCCCGCCCCACTAGCTTGGGTGGTCGTAATGATGGTGGTGGGCTTGCCATCTGCAGAGGTCACCAGCTTCAGGATGGTCCCAGCTGGCAGAGGGCCTTTGGTCTACAGTGGGAGTGTGGGGGTTGAGTCAGCAGCCTGAGGCGCTGGCAGAGTGGGTTCTCCCCAAGCCCGGCAGCCACGTCACCTGAATGATTTGTGTCACCGGGCCCGTAGAGGCCTGGCCTGTGACCGCAGAGGTCTGAACGGGTTTTGTCTGGACCACTGACATCACTTTGCCAAGGTTGGAAATCTGAAAAGCAGAGGGGAACATGAAGCAAGGGCTGGCCTGTGGGGGCAGCCACCTGTAAACCAGGGCACCTAGGGCTGTCACTCACGAGAGCACTGCCTCCTGGGACCGAGATGGGGCTCTTCACTAGGGTGATGGTCTTGGTCACGCCGCCCACCACTGTGGTCACCACCTGTGCTTGCTGGGCCACAGTCACAGTTCCTGATTTGTGCACAGTGATGATGGGGCGGGTGGCCGTGTTGGCAGCTGAGGACACAGACGTGCCCACCTGTGCGGCGGCAGTCTTCAGCATGCGGGTGGCAGGGTTGCTCACCTAGAGCAGAGGAGATTGATTGGTGGGCGAGGTAGGGAAGCTGCTGACGGGAACAAAAGGCCTTACCAGCAGCCACTGGTGCAGAGCCCAACACACCGTCAGCCCCTCCGGAGGCTTACCATGACAGGCGAGGAGGCCACTTTCACGGTGGCCGGCAAAGTGGTAGTCCCAGGAGTCACAGCCACAGTCTTGACAATGGTGGTGCCAGCAGGGACACTGAGCACCGTGGGCGCTGAGGACGGGGGGATCTTTTGGGTGGCAGCAGCCGCCGCCGCCAAAGCTGCCATTCCACTCATTTGCGGGTTGCTGCCGATTACCTGCGAGTCCAAACCGGGGACCATGAGTCCGCTGGTACAGACAGAGCCCCATCTATCTGCCTTCCCTGTCAGCTCCTACCATGGGGCAGACACCAGACTCCCGACACCCGGAGTTTGTCTGCAACTCCGGATGATTTCAAAAATGGGAGTCAGACCTCACAGAGCCCACCCAGGCCCTGCCCACTGGCGCTCACCGTCCCCTGGGCGCTCTGTGTGGGCACGACCATTCGCACACCCGCGGGCAGGGAGGTCACAGTGACTGGGGTTTTCCCGGCCTGACTGGCAGGTCTCATAGTGACCAGTGGGGTTCCTGTGGTGGCCTGAGGCCCAGTTACTTTGAGAACAGCAGGGACACCTGGTAAGAGAAGAGGGTGGGCGTCAGCGCAGCCCCAGGGGATGCCAAGGAGCAGTCAGCCCCCTGCAGTGCATCGCTAAACAATCCCTCTTTGACCAGCCCCACAGCTAAGTGCAGCTGGGGCCTGTGGACCTTGTATCTGGTCTGCTGTGCTTTCTAGATGATTCTTCATGACTCCTGTAGGGAACAGCTTTGCCGTGAGCAGGGCTGGGCCCGCCCCATGTCCCCAGGCACCAGCTCACCTTGAGTCCTCGCTGCAGTGGGCACAGTCGGCACGACCTGGATGGTGGTGGTGGTCGGGGGTGCGGCAGTAGCCTGAGGCAGCAGCGTGATGCCCACCTGTGTCAGTGGCTGTACGGCAGGGGCCGCAGCGGCGGGGGCAGGACTCTTGGGAGGGTTGGCAGGCACAGACGGGACGGGATTTGGGGTGGGGGAGGTAGCAGTGGCAGCAGTGGCAGGAATGTCGTATTTCTGGAGCTGAAGAAGATAACTGTCGGCCGTGGCCACGGCCCCCCAGCTCACCTCCAAGGAGGTGGTGTTGGCACGCACCAGCTGGACCCGGGACGGGGGTGGCGGTTTTTCTGTAAAAGAACGCAGCAGGTGAGATGAGGCACAGGAGGCTGGGTGGGGCCCGTCAGGGGCCTTTCACAGCATGTACCCACCTGTTTCCAAGTACCAGAGATCCTTGCAGCAGACCTGGTTGTTCCAGGCTTTCCGATAGCCATCCCGCCCACTCCAGATGTACAAGCGTGTGTTGATGGCTACAGCACAGTGCCCGGCTCGAGCCCGGGGAATGTTGTCCTCCAGTGTGTCCATTAGGATGCTCTCCCAGGCCATGGTGTCTGGGGGAGGGGGAGAACAGGTCACCAGAGAAGAACCTTAGGGTTTCTCAAGGGTCGCCATTTGCAATCAGGATTTTAAAAGCAGAAATTAAGAGATACTAGAAATGATGCCACTGCGAAGAAAAATTGGAACCACTAGTGACAAACTGGGCAAGACACTTCAAATGCAGCAAGGCCAAAGGGTGAACTGCTTCCATGTCAGTGAGCGAGGAAAGCATCCAAAGAACAAGAAATAGAGATGGGATGTAAAGGACGGAATGTGCGAAATGCCCAGCTAAGGCTCCCCTGTCAGGATCTGCAAAGAGCTGAGAGCCAGCGGCCTGGCCTGGTGAGGTGGAGGCCACTGTGGGAACTGCCTCTGACTGCTGGGTTTGTAACCTGCAGGTGTCCTGGTCCAGGTGTGCTGATGGTGCCAGGACACTGGCTGGAGCACCACTGCTCTGCAGCCGCTACAGCAAAGACAAAGGAGGAAGCCGTTCACTGGGGGCAACTGCACACTGCGCGCCACCACTGGTTTGATTCATGAAAACAAATAAGGAATGTACAGCTGATGCTTGTGTTTGTCCAAACTGTCCTGGGGGGGAGGGAGGGAGGGAGGAGCCAAAACAGCACAGCAAGCAGCTGCCTAGGAGGATTCCCGGATGGGAGGAGCCTCTGCACTGGGCTCTTTTGTTCCCTTGGATGTTGCCCACATGGATGAAGATCCTAGTCCGCAAAACACAAGGGCAGGCTGCACTCAGGAGGAGAGTGACCGGCCCACCCAGCTGAGGCCTTACACATGAGCTGAAACAGTGTCTTAGCACGGAGGACCCCCTAGCCCAGCCCAAGGAGACCATACCCAGGTTGAGACACGCCAGCGTGTTGGTACACTTCCACTCTTTCTCATGGGTGGCCACTTTGACATCATCCATGACGAGAGGCACCCAGCCTCCAAACACGTACATTCTGAGGGGAGGGAGGACGAGAAGAGAAGACGACAGCTCTAGAGAAGGGGACCAGCTGTCCGGAAGGCCCTGCACACGCTCCAGTCTCTGGCTCACCCCAGGAAAGTCCCTCAAAAACCTGTGGCCACTTGACCCTGCGGCAGCGGCGCTGAGCTCCCCGGCAGCCCCCCTTCCCAGGACGCCAGTGTCGGACCCACTCAAGTGTCTGGGTCTGGCTTTGGCGCCCTCCCCCAGCCCAGGCCTGCCTGCTCTAGAGTGAGGCTGTGGCTGCTCTATCCCAGGCCCTCCCGACGAGGAGCCCTGTACAGAGCACTTACTTGTTGCCTATGGTTGTGGCTGAGTGCAGGCTCCGAGGCAGCGGTGCCACTCCACTGAGGCTAGGCTTGTTCCACGTCAGCGTCTCTGTAGACCGATTGGGGGAGAGGGGAGTCACCAGCACTGGAGCAGACAACCGAGGTGCTGGCCCCGGGAGGGCTCGCCGGGCCCCCTGACAGCAATTTCCGTCTTTGTTGTTACAACCACCAGGTGACCGCATCTCCCATACTACTGCCGTGACTTTCTTGGCAGAGTCATTTCCTCAAATCTTTGAGGAGCCCCACTGAGAGCCAGGTGCTGTCCTAGCTGCTGGACTCCCCTTCACCCCCAGACTTCCTCCTTGGGCCCTGCCAGCTAGCCTGACCAAGCGAGGGCTCAAGAGCCACTATTGCTCCTAACCCTAGACAACGGCAGCAGTCACCTCTCCCCTTACTGTCTTGCTAAGGAGCCCTGGAAGCTTGTCAGTAGCGAAAGATGAGGCTGTGTGCTCCAGTACAAAATCTAGTCTCAGAAGTGCTACATAGTCAACAGGAAGAGTTAGCCAGGCTCCAAGCTCAGGACAAACACAACAGGATGACAGGAAGGCGCCGCTCCACCTCTCAGCGAGCCCAGCTCACCAGAAGATGATGTCTACGCAAGGTAGTGCCAGCAGACGAGCTTGGCCTTGTGGATTAAATTGTGGACCAAAAAAACTTGTGCTGCAAAGCCGAACCCCAATGCCTGTGGAGCCCCAATGCCTGTGGAACCCCAATGCCTGTGGAGCCCCAATGCCTGTGGAACCCCAATGCCTGTGGAGCCCCAATGCCTGTGGAGCCCCAATGCCTGTGGAACCCCAATGCCTGTGGAACCCCAAAGCCTGTGGCTATAACCCTACTTAGGGATGGGCTGTCTTTGTTAGGGGAAGGAGCCCAGGTTCATATTAGATGTGTGTAGCAGAGAGAAATGGGGAAGAGAGATGCCAAGGCCTGGACATTTCCAAGCAACCAGGAGGCAGAAGCTACAGAGACAAAGCTCCCCACCCACCAGACAGAGAGAACCGTCCCATAGAGCTGGCGTCCTGAACTTGGACTTCTAGCCTCTGAAACTGAGAAAGAATCCGTTTCTCTGCTAAGGCCATCCACTTGTGGCATTCCTTTATAGCAGCTAAAGACACAGGGCCACAAGCATCCAGCTGCTTACCAATATCGAGGGTCCAGAGGTCCCCCAGCCTGCAACCACTCATTCCTCCATAGATCACCAGCTTGGATTTCTTGTTGTCTTTCTCAGTGTAGACCACAGCAGTATGTGACTCCCGGGGTGGGGGCAGGACCCCATAAGTGATGGGGATGTCCCAGGCAACCACTCCAGAGCCGGGTCGCAATTCCAGGATGTATAAGTCATTCAGGTACCTGACAAAAAGAGACCGGTCACAGCAGGACTGCCTCCCCACGGCACACGGGCCACAGAAGCCCTCAGAGAGTGCACCCCAGAGGAACAGTTGGTGGGGGCATGGCAGCTGCCGGGCCCACCTAGCACGAGGGAACGTCAGCTTGTTGACCAAATGCCTTGGAAAATCCCAATCATTCAACTCAGAGGCAGTCAAGACACAGACGGAAAGCAACTTGCAAAAAGGGCTCCGAAGCAGCTCTGGTAGTGTAGTGGGTTACAAGCTGAGCTGCTAACCGCAGGTCAGCAGTTCAAATCTACCAGCTGCTACACAAAAGAAAAGATGAAGCTTTCCGCTCCTATGAAGAACGTGGGGACAAGCCCTAGGGTCCGTACCCTAGCCAAGTGCAAGCCTGTGTGTGTTCTAAAGGAAAGGGAAAAGTCTTACCTTGGAATGTTGTTCTTAGGGTCCTCGCTGTCATTGGCCAGACCCCCAAACAGGTAGCATTTGTTGCCCACGAGGGAGAAGCTGTGGCCGAGCCGAGGACACGGAGGTGGCCCATTTTTAGGTGTCTTAGCTTTGAGTCTCTTCCACTCCCACCGACTGGCCTGCCAAATGAAGGTTGATTACCTTGTTACATGGGAAGAGAAGGCTTCAGCACTGACCCCCACGCCCCCGCCATTTACGAAGCACTCTTCCCATGCTCTGCTCTGACCCCTGTGGGGGCCTTACCTGGAGCTCATAGAGGTCGTTGCTGTACTTGCCGTACTCCACCATCCCACCAAACACCAGTAAGCGTGTCCCGTCACACACAAAGCCATAGGCTGCACACCCGGGGGGAATGTCCCCTCTCACTGCCGGGATGAACCACTGGTTGGTTGCTAGGAGAAAAGAGGAAGCAGAAGTCGGAACACAGATGCTCCTAAAAGCCAGAGCCTCTGAGATCACCCCTAGAAAACCCACTCTTCTCCTCCCTACCCCACACCCCATGTTCCCTGGACTTCAAAGGGGGTGTCAGGCAAGAGAGGAGCTAAGATAGGATCTCTCTTCTAAGAGTGTGGTACCCCCTATATACAGCCTGCAAGTTTCCGGCTCCTTGGTGAGATCACCTGACCGGGCAGGAAGGCAATGCTGAAGATATCTCCTATCTGCTTCAGGAAGGTCTGTCCTTCCCCGGTTCCTCCACAGACCCACGGTACCCTGGCTCTGGCCCCAGTGCCTAGTAAGGGAGCCTAGAGCGCTTGTACCCAGCTCTCCCCGGGCGTCAGTACAGCCAGACGACACAACAAGCGTGCCTTCCCCTCCACCAGGGGGTGCTATATGGGTGGGAGGCGAGACCCCCATCTCTACTCTAAACTCCTCAGGCCCACAGCCTGGTAGTAATGCTACCGCCCCTCCCACAGCTACCCTTCGAGCAGCGTTCTCAACAGAAATGGCTGTGGCAGCAACCTTCCTGCCCTGCCCGTCAGTCTCAGTCACAGACGCTTCTCAAACCCACCCCTTTCAGCTGTAGCTGCGGGTAGGACAGGGAGACCACATGGAGGGGGCCAGGAGACCAGCCCACTACACCTGATTTCCAGGGCCGGTCCTTAGAGGGCATTCCCCAGTCTCTTCACAAATACAAAATGGGTTACTGTTGCTGGTGTTTTAAGTGCCATCGACTTGGTTCTGACTCACAGTGAGCTGCTTATAGAGTTTCTGAAGAATGACTGGTGGGTTTGAACCACCGACTTATCGGTCTGCAGTTGTTAAGTGCCATCGAGTCGACGTTGACTCATAGCGACCCTGTCTAGAGTTTCCAAGGAGTAGCTGGTGATTCAAACTGACTTTGCAGTCCAGCGCTTAACCCCGCAGCGCCACATCCAGGACTCCAAGATGCGTTGCTGGAGGCAAATGCGAGACCATGGCCCACAGGCAGTTTGGGTGCAATTTGAGCCAGAGGATTGTGTCCGGGGACGCAGGGTAAGTGGCAGCATATGCCTCTCTCAGGAGGGGCAAAGACTTGTGAGACAGCTCACCAGCTAGGACTGCACTCAAGGGTGGTCCAGGAGCGGTCAGGAGGCATGTGGTCACTAATATGTCCCCCACTACATCCTATATTGTCACTCCCCTGGCCTCAGCATGCGACTCGGCTTAAAGACTTACTAAGATTGCGGGCAAGAGCAGACTTCATAGGTCACAGTCTCTCCCAAGCTCTAAGGAGGCCCATGACAGGGACTCTTCGAAGCACCAGGAGACCCACCATCAAACGTCTTCCTAAAGTGGCAGTGAAGTGCGGACACACTGCCTGTGCACCCCCCCCCCCAGGAGTCAGGCTCTCTGCCTCAGCCCTGTTGTCACTCATAACAAACGCGGAGAGGCAACATCTTTCCACGACAAGGAGGAGTTCTTCCCAAGTTCTGGGCTAAAAGGCCAAAGGCACTGGACACACAGCCAGAGTTCAGGAGAGACCCTCACAGACATGAGAGCCTACCACTGGCAGAAGTCAAAAATGACCCCTTGGGAACATGCTGCCCTCACCCTTGGCTCCTGGTAACCACCAGGTAGGTTAGAGGCACCACCTAGGCTGGGACACCACCACTCGATTACTGGAAGGGACCCACAAGGGGATGATCTAGTTCTAGAACAATCCTATCAGGCAGTAAGGCATTTTCTGGTACAAAGACATGGCCTGCCTCTCCACTTCCCTAGCGAATCCCAGGCCTGCCCCCGAAATAGCGCAAGCCAGTACCCCCTTCCCGGCGCCAGTTCTGAACCATAGCAGCTGTTCTCACTCAGTCCCTGGCTCTGGTATCAGATGACCCAATCCCTGGGCTCCTCCTGGCTTTCTGGGCAGGTCCTCAGGCTGGAGGTGAACTTGGGCAAAGGAAGCCGCCAGGGTACTGGGTCTTGTGGGGAGGAGCAGCTTCCCCTGCCACTCTGTACTTGATGAATTCACTTTGTACTTGCTACTACCCGTCAACCTCTAAGCGCTGGAGACCCAGAAGGTGGGCAGCAGTCAGCAGAGCCTTCCTCATTTGCATTCTCACATTCAGCAATTGCTGGGGGCTGACCCAGACTAGGTACGCCCACACCTCACAGGGGTGAGTGCGTGGGCGAGTGCTCTGAACACTCCCCAACAAGTCACCCTGGGCAGTATAGTAGAGTCCCTCCCTCCTCAAGTGGCCCTTCCTTCTGGGGGCCTCAAGTCTGGGATCTGAGGGGCATGTTTGGATGATGCAAGTTTGATTTCTGCTCACTTACACGACTCTGAGGCAGATCAAGTCAGCATTGAGTGGCTGCCCGCGGTTTGCCCTCCTGGGGCCACCACCATGGCTGCTAGACTATCCCACGAGCACGGTTTTGGCTCCTGGGTCCGCCACAACCACCCCCGCCTGATCTTTGGTGACTCTTAGTGGTGTTGGGGGAGGGGGTAGTGGAAAGGACTTCACCAGAGAGAGCATGTTTGTTGTGGTTAAGTACTGTGGCATCGGTTCCGACTCATAGTGACCCTGCACAGGGTTTCCCAGGCTGCAAATCTTTACAGGAGCAGCAAGCCTCATCTTTCTCCGGCAGAACAGCTGGTAGTTTCCAACTGCCGACCTTGAGGTTCACGGCCCAATTCATAACCACTACACGACCAGAGCTCCTTAGAGAGGACATGAGGCCAGAAATGGGGCCTGGGGGGAC